ATATGCCTTATGGGTTCGTAGATGCTTTCTTCAGCCTTTTACCTAATTCTACATAAATTCTTTAAACGCTTTTTACCCTTTTCTAAGCAGCAGCTTTTATTTACCAAGCTAGATTGCTTAAATTTCAACAAGCAGGATTTTTTTAATTAGAAATACTTAAATAAATACATAAGTCAGCTGAAATAAATATGCCTTTTGACCTCGAACCCAAAACCCGAAAAACATTTAAGAGTTTGTTTTGTTTTGTGGTCAAAACTAATTTCGGCTGAAGTTAATGAGCAAGACATATGTCCTTTGCATAAAAGGGACGACAGCGAGATGGAGAGAGAGAGAGAGACGAGAGTAGAATCTATTTGAGGCCTAAGAATAAAGGCATATATTTAATTTCCGTTCGACGACAAAATGTTGGTATGGCAAATGAGCACTCATCAGTGAAGCCTAATGCATATAAATCGAACACTCAGGAAAAAATCGCTCTAAAAGGAAAGTCGCTCTAAAAAATATATGGACGTTAATATTTTTTTAAAAATAATTTTCAAAAATGTAAGAAAACTGGTCCCAAATCGACAAACCCAAAAAAATGGCGGTTTTTTCTCTAAAATCTCTTAATACAAATGTTTATTTAATAATATGAGTAAGAAAATCGCGAATTTTAGAGTTGCTTCCCTAACATTTAGACATATTATTTCTACATTTTCGAAAAATTCACACTGAAATTTAGAAATGCAAAGAGAAATTGTAAGAGAACCACAATCAACAATTTTTTGACATTTTTCTGAGTGTAATAGCTGAGAACATCATTGAATTACAAAGCACAAACAAACAAACAGACGGACAAGACAAGACAAAAGACAAGCGACAAAATTCGGTTGACTCGCAGCAGGCAGATTGAATCAATCCAAACGTTCATCAATCAATCAGCTGCGCTCAGCACAGCAACAAGGTCAGACATGATGCTCTCTCTCCCCCTTTCTCTCTGTCTCTCCCTTTCTCTCTCTCTCTCAGCCACGTGCGCGTCACGTTGTCCTGGCAATAAAACCTTCCTTTGTTGCTTTGCCAGCAGCAACGTGTTGGAAACCCACCAAATGAAATGAAGAAAATGAAGCAACGAACGAAGTTCAAAGCGAAAGCGAAAGCGAAATCAAAAAACACTAATTAATTTGTACGCTGTTGCTCTCTCTCTCTCCCCCTCTCTCCCTATATTATTTAGCAATTATTTTTCAATTTGCCTTCTAATAGACAACAGGCCAATAGAAAGCCCGCAGGAGATGCTAACAATTTCCAAGCCCTGCAAGATTTAGCCTCTGCTTATCTTACGCTGCCCGCAGCGCCCTGTACACCCCCCACCCACTGCCCCTTCTTCTCAAGAAAATAGATTTGGCGTCTAATTTTAGACAAGCGAAAAACAAGCTAAAAAAAATGTGGGTCAACTAAATGTACCAAAACGGACAGATGAGAGAGAGAATTGTCGACTGCTCGATGCCCTGTAAGACAAAAAAATAAGATAAATTAAGATAAATTCTAGATTAATTCCCTATATTTTTGGGATACTACTATTACAACTACTACTTATACGTTATTTGTAAGAAAGAGAAAAACTTTAGAATTACTATTTAGAATTGTTTCTTAAAAAATAGAAAACTTTCTATTTTTTTATGGAAATTTTCATTTTAGGTCGATTCTAAGGAATTGAGAATTCAAAACTCTTACGAATTCTAAGCTCCTTTTGCACAGTTGAGATACCCTGCTTGCCCCTTGGCTGAGCTACAGGTTATTATATAAGAATGCTGATGACGACGACCTCGTCTAAGGCGGCAAGGTCAACAGTTAAGTATGGAGGCATCAGCGCCATTTTGGCATTTGTTGCCCAGCAGCCTGTTCTCTGCACACATTATAAATGCGATTATGAACGTGACAAAGGTTGATGTTCATATTAAATGTAATGTGTGTGCGTGTGTGAGAGTGTGTGTGTGTGAGTGTGTGTGTGTCATGAGTGCGGTGTGCGTGTGTAATGTGAAATGGCAAGTGTCATAAACGTTATACATAATTAAAATATGTTGAGGCCAAAATTGAGAATTACAGAATTACGTCTGACACATAAGAAAGATGGCTGTCATTTGTAGGGAAGAAGAGAGCCTAATACGCATTAGTATCAGTAAGAGTTGACCAATCAAGGTCAAACAAAACGGGATCTTCAAAAGCAGTGAGCGACGGGCACTGCACAAAGAGACGAACTAGTTCGTGCGCGAAGTATAAGTATATAAGACAAGAAAACAACGCATAAAATGGACTGGAATCAAAATTTAGTGTGCAAGTACCCAAAAGTATGCTATGTAAATGTTAATAAAGGGATCTGTTTTTGGCAATGAAAACTATTCATTTTTATTATTAATAAATAATTTATAATAATTATTTAAACTTAACTAACCGAAAACTAAAATCAAATAAAATGCATTCATATGTTATTTATAAGTTTGGAAAGATCCATAAACTATGTGCAATTCCCAGCGTATTAAACAAAAAAACCCGGAAGCAAATATATTATTTATATTCACATGCTCGCAATGCTTGCATACTAAAAAAACTAAATTCCAGTTAAAACTTTATAGTAGAGGTGTGAATAGGAATTTCAAAATGCGCTGAGAATGTGCAAGAGAGAGAGAGAGAGAGAGATATGGTGCATTAACATACAATTCCTTTTAGTGTGTGTGTGAGAAGGAATCCCGTTCAGCACGTGTGCGATGCGTGGGAAGAGCAGAAAACGAAAATGAGCGAATGAAGAGGGGAACAATTGAATTGTGTGCGTGTGTATGTGAGTGTGTGTGTTTGAAGCGTGCGCGAATTTCAATTAATTAACTCTACTGTTGCTGCTTCTTCAACGCAATGGAAATTTACGGCTGCCAAGAGAGATTTAACATGATTATCACTGTTATAAAAATAACTTATCTCTTCCTCTCTCAATGCATTCATTCATAGTGTCACCAGTCGCGTCCAGAGTCCAGACCGAATACTATTCACACTCAAAAAAAAAGACGATCGCTTTCTATTTTTCTTTCAATTGCAAAAAACTGTCTCCACATTGAAAACGACTTTTGAATGTCAGACGAACAGCCCCCACCCCCACCCACCTCTGTCCCATCACTCGACCCTTCTTTTTGGGCTGTGTAATTTTCTTATCAATGACCCATATTAATAATCTTTATTTTGTATATTTTTTAATATTCCTTTTTATTATTTTTTTATTATATTCAATTTAATTATATATACCAAATTTTGTATGAGTACACATTAAGGTTTAAGCAATGATTATGCAATCTTGCCAGGCAAACAGTTTCACATAAAATCTATATTTTATTGGGTCGTTTAGAATAAAATTAAAGTGTTCAAATTACATAAGCTTAACTAAATTGACTAGTCATAAACTGTAAGCGAGATGAGCTTTTCAATTTAAATGCACGTCATTGGCAAGAAGCTAAAATAACATAACAGTTAATTGGTAGGTATTGTTAAGCACACTCTTTATCTCGCTCTTTTCCCCAGTTTAATTTATTTAGTGAAGCATGCGATCAACTGTTCTATATATATACACCACCGTCGAAGGTAGCAGAGCATACTTGATTTACACCAATGTTTCGTCAAGTTCGCTCTTGTGTCCACTTTTCACCTGTATGCAGCTGTAACAGAGTATTCAGCAGTCGCTTACGTTTGGCTTGTTTAATTCATTGTATGAATTGAACTTTTCCATTTTGTAGCCGAAGCTCATGTTTCTTAAGAAATTAAAGTCATGCGAGATTCTCTTTCATATTGTTTTTATTAAATTGCGTTTTATATGACTTATGTACTTATATTTCAACTACTGATAGAGCCACTCGTATTATTATTATTATTATTATTATGTGCCAAGAGGTTTTTCATTTCATTTCACTTTCTTGTAAGCATTGCCAGGTATCAAATTCAACAGCAACTTTTTCATTGTGCTTGGCACGATTTCCTCAAAATGCAAAAAAGGTTTTCAATTACAATGTAAGAAGTTTTTAATGCGTGTGACGTTAGCATGAAGTCATCTTGAACGCAGCTGGCCAACGCCATAACCACAAATTTAGCTGATTTACAAAATATTCTGCAAATGTGGCGAAAAAGTTCTTCGTTATTTTTTTGCGAATGATTTGCGCCAAAAAAGTAGACGAACAAATAGAAAACATTTTGGGCACACCTTTGGAACATCAACTTGAAAGGATTGTATTATTATATAAGTACAAGAATTTAAATTTAAATTTGCTATTATTAGATGAATAATTTAAATATAAGAGTGGGAAATTTTCATGACTGTACTATAAATGATATTCATTAAAAAAAACAATTAAGTACATATTTAATTACAATGCATTCAGTATGCACTCCAATATGCTCGCTTAGTTTAATTGTAGGGTATGCGAAGATCGTCATTATCAAAGGCAGTCGCAAACACAGCTCAACTGTCAAATGTGATAAATCATGTGTAAATTGAAAGAAGTGCAAATAAGCCAACGCCAGCAATGAAAACCGAAACACACATGAAAGAAGAGCGACCAAGAAATATAATAATTGTAATAAATATAACGGCAAACAACAACAACAGCAACATATACCGCAAGCAATAAAGTAAACACGCAAATGGTAAACGAAAAAAAAACAGTTGAGTTTTTGGGCTTGGGTTAAGCCTGGGTAGAAAGAGATAAAGAGAGCGAGAGCGAGAGAAAACGGTTTGAGTGACAGAGATCTGTGCTGACGATGACGATGATGATCAGTTGAGCCGTTGCATGTGCACTGAAGAAGGGGCAGAAGAGCGAACGCATAAATGCGAATAATGAGCAGAAACGTAACTGACAAAACAAAAACGAAGAAATGAATATCAGGAACTTTTTTTTCGTAGTTTTTCATTTGCTGCTGACTGCTGCTGGTGACTGGCGATTGCGACGCGAGTTTAGTCGTGGTGCGCATTAAAAACCTACAAAATAGGGTAAAAAACGGTGCATGCGAGTTAGTAACGCGAGGGCGACCCATCAATGCACTGCTCAAAGCCGCACAAAAACTAAGAAAGCAAAAAAACGGCACGTGATAATGCAACAAAAAATCCAAATATAATGTGTACTAAACATATGTAAAATATTACACAAAATAAAATAATAGTGTTTAAAAACGACTCGAAATTAATAGAGTAACTTTCTTTTGCATCGCGATTGCGATTATTTAAAACGGAAACGAAAACATTGTTGCAAAATTTACGTAATACGAAAAAGAAAAAGGTCTCGGATTTGATAGTGTGTGCCCCTAGTGAATTTTCTGAAATTACCTTTAACACACGGAGCAGCAGCAGCAGCTAAGAGCGCCAACTGAGAGAAAGAGAGAGAATGTCCTATAATCACAACAACAGCTCTGAGGATTACTCACACGAGGATGAGTATGTACATATATATATCTGTCTTTTACTCCAACAGCCTTGGGCTCAAAATTGACCCCTTTGTCAGCAAAAGCAATATGAATGTCTACGAATTATTTGCTTTGGGTGTTTCTTTCCGTTTCGTTTCGTTCGACAAGTAAACAATCAACTTGAGTTGTGTGCAAGAAAGAAAGAAAGAAAGTGCAGAGAAGAAAGTCCAAGAATTTGTATACTAAATTTAGTATGTGATTACATAAGCGACTGCACTCGAAAGCTTATCTCTCACTTCCATTGAAATATGAGCATTATCTTTTAAGCAGCGCTCAAAATGAATATTCAATCGTATAACAAATATTCGATAGTATAACAAATATTTATAATCTTAAAAGCATCGTTCAATCTTCTATAAGTAAAATTTCATTCGTTTTATAAAGAAAATTTAACTTTAGTCAAAAAAATTCATAATCTTATAAGCTCTTTAAATATTCTTCTAGAAATAATAGTTTACACTGATTCCAAGCAGTTTTAGATAATATACTTCCAACAATACGATAATGATGTGATATCTAGATGTAGAAATTGGATTTTTCAATAATTTTATGTAGTTTCAGCTATTGGTGGATATACCAAATTAAAGAAGATATAAAAATGCCCTTATATGCATATATTATGCTCCGATCAAGGTCTAAGTGTTCCTATCATTCAACCCTCATATCTAACAGAAACCAAGTGCATTGCAATGTGACGAGATTTGAGGCACTCAAATCCAACCCAATAAACATATATACAGATATATATATCTTCAAGAGATATACTCAATCTTTAAGTTGAACAATTTAGCAAGTTCAAACAAAAGTGTCGGAAATTGTATTCACAAATAAGCAAAGTGCATAAGTTAAGATCTCTAAATATGAACGAGAAAGAGAGAGACCGTGCAAGGGAGAGAGTGGGAGATAGTGTGTGTGAGAGAGAGAGAGAGAGAGAGAGTGATAGAGAGAGATATACCCCATCAAAATATCATATGGAATCAGTGTCAGCTTCTGTTTCTGCGAACTAAATTAAACTAAATATAATTTATGACTTATGCCATTTGAGTTGTGTGAGTGAATGCGAGCTGAATGCCCGTTGAATGTGAGTTGAATGTGAGTGAATGCGAGTGGGTTTCATTTCATTTATTTTTGTGTCTAAGCGACATTTAAACTAAACTAAATTAAGATTTCTGACCACTTGACTCGAGTGCACAAATTGCATTTATTCAACACTCGCACGTGATGTGCAATCTACCAACTGAATGAGTGTCTCTGTGAGTGTATTCATCTCCATTCAGCTGTGTTGACAATCTAATTGCTATTGAAATACAAAAAAATGTCATTAAACTCGCATTTGAAATGGAAATGGGGTTTTTCTATTCGATGTCATTCATCAAATGGACAGTGTGACCTTAAAAAAGTGTGCCTTAATTAAGTGTGCCAGCTAATCAAGCCATGCCCAATGAATATCCATTGTTGTCTCTTTCACTCACTGCCTTCTTTCACTCTTTCTTTCTCTCTCTTTTACGGTTTCTTTCGCTTCAAACTGCTAATTTACATGAGAATTGCAATGTTTTTCCAAGACTTTGATTGATGCTTGCAACGATTGACCTTCCACATTGGAATTTACATAATATATTTATTACCCAGCAACTGCTTGAAGCCGAACTATTGAATACATTATAATTAAAGCGAAACGACAACGACAACAACCTAATTATTATTCATTTATTTTGCTTGCAAGCACTTTAATTAACTTACTTACAATATTAAAAGTTACCAAAGTGGGTATTGTTTTGAGTGATGGGCGTGTTTCATTCACTGCAACCCTTAAGATATATTGTATTTGGGTATTTTTCATATTATTGAGCGAGTTCCGTACACCTGGATCTATTGTGCTCTTTTCATGCATGAATTTAAGAATCTTTGTCTTGTTGGGGTTTTCTTGTCAGTAAACGATATAATATCCCTAGAGAAATCTGTGATCAATTCGAATGAAATAAAGTTTATAGAATTCATTCGCACAATTAAATCTATAGATAGATCACTGACTACACCAGTATTTTTGGGTGACTTCTTAAAGCATAACACTTCCCACATTTTCATTCTTTACATCTCGCTCATTATAAGTTCTCCTTGATTTGACTGTAACACGACTTATTGGCTTATTTTTATTTGTTTGTGAAAATCATAGAAAAACAATTAATTAAAATATAAGACAGGCATAGCAACTAATCTACAAGTAAACTAGTAAATTAGAAACGCGTTTACAAATTAAAAAGGACTAACTTAAATAATTATATATATATTTTTTATTTAAATTTAACTTATATTTTTAGAATAAGCTTTATTGCACATTGATATTTCCATAGTTTTCGTAGCAATCGTTTCGAAATTCTTGAAATGGGCAAACGATCTTAATTTAAGAGACTCGGGCGCATATATATAAATATATATACATACCCAAGTATATAACTGAAGGGTAACTTAAGCTCCTACTTACTTTATTCCACACCTGATTTTCTAAATTTGCAATGCCATTTAGGCTTTAAAAGGATTTAAATCACATTTAGCATTTATGTGTCTCACACAAAGTCCTAATCCACTTTTGGGTGCTTGTTAAACCCATTCGCAGAATGCGAAAACCTGAATGCGAAAACCTGAAAACCACATTGAAATTGAAGGTTTTATAAGCCGCAAAAATATAAAAAAAATATAATAAAATAAAATAGTAATAAAAATCCCTTAAAGACATTTAAAGCCTTGGCAAAAAAAGCACAAATGACATTATAAATTATTTCTTGGCGCCCCAAAATAAAATCAATAAGAGAACTTTAAGCGTTTATTGAATTCCTGAATTCCTGAAAATGCGTTGCGTGTGTCTCAATAGGGGGCGGGGGCGGGGCGGGTGATTGGCACGTGCCACACCTGAACAAAACAAATTTGGTGCTTAGACAAGTATTTATTTTTTGTATTGAAGACAAATTCCGTTAGCAAATCTCACCTCAATTTTTTCGCTCTTTTTGCTCTCTCTTTTTTTCATGGCTCCCCAATGTGCCCCAAACTCACAACTTATGGACAATCAACCTGCCACAACTCCAACCTCCACTCCACATATGCAGCGAGGTAACGGAAGGTGCCTTACAGGTCTGGCGCACGCTGCCCGAACGCATTCGACAGGATCCCAGCCTAGCCTCCTTCAGGCAGGAGCACGAGCGTCTCCATGGCGGTAAGTGTTTACATATTCCTTTTATTTCGCCTTCTTTTTTTTTGTTTTTTTGGGGTGCCACAAGACCATCTTGTTGCCTCAACATTTATTTGACTTGTCCAACAGCATATGCTTTGTTCTGTTTGTGTGTGTGTGAGGGGGGGGATGTAAGTGTCGCCCTACTTAACTGCCAGCTGAGGGTATTCTAAATGTATCGTTATGTTTGTTGGAGCTTGGGGGAAAACCATCTGGGATATTTATATACCCGTGGTAAGCTCAGCGGCTTTGTATATTTGTAATTTATCGATAAGTTATCAATGTTCGTTATCCCTGCTTATCTGCCAGCTGGGGTTATTTGAAACATCTTACATTTTATTAAATATAAGGTCATCTTCAATTTTATCAAGCTTCTTATTGATATATTCATGTTTTGTGGCTTCGCATATCTATAATTGATAGTTAGGTTGTCGATGTGTTAGCAAGCATGTAAATTGGTTAAAATCACTTCAACCATTAGCTTAGTTTTCAATTTAAAGCTTACCGCTGCCTATAGTCATTGCTTATTAAATATGTTTTATCCAATGGCTTTGCATTCTTACAATATACTAATAAGTAATAGACAAATATGTACACAAAACTTGTAAATTCTATTAGCTATCGATACTTATCGATAACAGATATTTAATATATCTTAATCTTTAAATAGAGACTCTTTCACTTTGGTACTTTCCTAGACTCATAGCGCAAGTAGAAAGTGCATCAAGTTTTCGGCTAGCTGTCTACGCATTTTTTTTGTGAATTTGTTTATTTTTTATTGGCACGTTGTTTATTTTTTTTATGGCTGTAATTATTGTTGAAATTTTTATGACGATTTGCGTTGGCGTCGTCCGTCCGTCGTCCGTCGTCCGTCGTCGACATTGACATTGGCCACAAAACAAGGCTCTCTCCCGTTATTTCTGCCTTTGAATTTGGATAACGAATGCGAATTGCGCAACTTGCGGCAATGTTTATCACTTTAAATTGTTTAATAGACGTACTACCGTTGTACTTGTTTTCTTTTTTGGGTCTTGAATAGGTATTATGCTAATGCCTATGCAAAAATATGGCCTTTACTATTTCCGCAATATTACGATAGACGATAGACGTTGATGATGATGATGATGACGATGACGGGTGACTATAGAACCACTCCACGTCTGAAATTGAGCCATTAAAGCAGCAATTGAATTATATATAGATATCGATAGCTATTGATATACCTCTATCATTGTGGTCAATTGATAAATGGTTTTATGTACCCTAAACACATTAAAAATCTTGAAGAGGGTAGAATAAAGTTGTGGAAAAGGAAGAAGAAAACATTTCCGAGCCCTTAAACTATATGTATTCTTGATCAGCAGCAAAAACAGAGTTGATATGGCCATGTTTGCTTGTCTGTCTGTAACAAGGAACCGTTTTCAGAGACTATAATCGCTACAGACCATAAATTTTGGTATATAAGTTCTCGTATTTCATAAACATATCAAGTTTATTTAATTTTATCGATAACTACACACACTTTGCGTGTATCGATATAAATCAATTTCCGATAGCTATAAAAGACTCAATTGCTGAGCTTTTGCAAATGGGAGCACGTCTCCTTGTTTATCAAAACTTATTTTTATATTCAACAAACTATCAATTAGGTGCAGGGTATCTGCTAGTCGAGCACTCTCGACTAGAGCATTCTAACTTGTTATCTTATGAGCCATTCGAGCTAAAAATAGATGCTAATAAAATGAAGTGGCGGACGTAGAAATCGAAGACTGAGCCAACTGCTGTCGCAATCAGTCCTCAAATTGCTGTCGTCCTGTGGTCCTGTTGTCCTGTTGTCCTGTCGATTGCAGCTAATGGTTCAATTGCCGTTTAAATATTTACCCATATCGTTGCTTGGTAGTTAGAAATTAATAAATGATGCAGCTGCACTCAGAGAAAAAAATCGACAAAAATTTGTGAAATTCACCAAGAGTAACTCTGCTAATTATTCAGAGAGTATATTTGTAAAAATCAGGACTTATCATTTCTTAATTTGTGAGTAGATTTTTCTGAAATTTAGAAAAAGCTGTATCATTTTCAGGGTTACTTAATTATAGAAAATATTTCTCAAAATTGGAAATTGTTGATTTTTACACTGAGTACAGATGAAGTAGTTGCCTATTAAAACCTTCATCTATCATTTCAGATCCCTTGCCTTTGGAGGATGTGGCAGAGCAAGAGCACAACGAACTTGAGCAAATTGGACGGAATGGACATGGACATATGGAGGAGCCGAAGGCGGTCTTCACACAGATCGGCATCAATGTGACGAACGAGGCGGGACAGGTGCATGTTTTGGATGGCAGGTTCGTAGTTCTTTGCCACTCGATTGTCAGTTACGTAATTAGTGCAACCAGTTTTCTGTCTGTCCCCCCAGGGACCTGGAGAACAACAACGAGGATCAGCACGACGATGGCGAGGGCTACTCCAAAAGCAACGTGAGTCCTTCAAAAGATCTTTGAAATTTGAGAACTAAATTAACTGTAATTTGTGCCTGATTGAAGTTAACTAAACATTACTTAACATAATAATAATTAACTAATTTAACTTTAACTTATACTTAATTAAAGTTAACTTATTTGAAGCACGAATACTTTAAATGGGAAATTTAAAGCTACCCTAACTAAGATGAAAATAATCTAGATTAACTTCAGCATGTACTATAACTTAATATAGCTTAACTTAACTTATTTTAAACCTCAATGCAAGCTTAAACTCCCATAACTAAATCTAATAATGAAGTGCACCTAGCTTAACATGTTATAAAGATGAGAATAATTCTTATGGATCGGATAAGGAACACTGATTGTGTTAGCCAAAGCATATTTTCATATTGAGAGCCTGCTTAAATTTACAGAAAATTTACATAATTTATTACTAAGCATCTGCTTAAAGATAAACAACTGAATACATAATAATTAAAACGAAACGAATCGACGACAAGCTAATTATTATTTATTGCATGCAATTCAATTAAGTATTTAAAAATAACTAAAGAGCGTATTGTTTTTATTATTGGGTGGGTTGCATGCACTGCGACCTATTAGTTCCATTGTATTGGGTATTATTATTAGTATTGGGGGAATTTCAAACACTTTCGATCTATTGTGCCCCCTTCTGATCCTATAGCAACTCCATCAATGCTAATTCATGCTTGAATTTAAAAGTCTTTGTCTTATTGTGGGTTTCCAGTTAGTAAAAGATGAAGTCTCCCGAGGGAAACAAAGTTCTATTCGAAGAAAATAGATTCATTGATTGATAGATTGATCACATTTTTCCATAGAATACTACATCTTTTTCTGACTAATTCTCCATTAACTAATTTAGTTAACTTAGCTTAACTGTAACTTCACTTATACGTTTGTTAAGTTTTTCTTCAGCCTGACTTTAAATCCATATAAAATAAATAAATAACTATTTTACCTAATTTATTTTAGTGATCGATTTTATTGAGCCAGACTTTAAATACAATTTTCTTTCACTTTCAGTTCAAAAAGTATTTGACTTGGTTTAAGATATCGGTGCTGCTTGTTGTGTGGTGTGTTTTCACCGCCTTTCTGATGAGCAACAACGAGCACGTGGATCAATTGAGTCTCATCAGTGTGCCGAAGAACAGTTCCACGCGAGGTGAGCAACAATAGAATCCAAACCGAACGTGTAATTCTAATATATTTTAAATATTTCTTTCTTCAGTCTTCTCCATTGCCACATCGAAGCTGGAGCGGATTGGGCTGGGTCTAAGGGGCCCCTTTCGGTTGCAGGAGAACGAGTTGCAGTTGAACGATAGTGTGCCGCTGCCCGTGTTGCAAGTCCTTGTCACACGCAGCTATTTGGATGCACAGGGTCAGGAGTTCTACACGGAGAATGCGAGTCAAATGTGGCAACTAGATGTTGTCTATCCGGAGCTAATCGATGCCACCAAGGATACCAAAAAAACCCACACTTTCGAACTAATGCCAGCGGATGCAGCAAAACTCATCGAGGCAAATGGAACACGACTCAATTTTGAGTTAACCAGCACCATTGATGGCGAGCTGCCGCTCCAACTGAATGTGGATGAGTCGCCCATCTACAAGAAGCATGGCGTTCTCTATGCGGCAGCTGTGCTCTGCGGCCTCTATGTGATGATCATTTGGGAGATTGTTAATCGCACTTTTGCTGCCATCATTGCCTCAACTTTATCTGTGGGCATTTTGGCTGCGCTCAACTCGCGTCCTTCAATGTCCACGATTATGGGTTGGATTGATGTGGAAACATTGCTGCTGCTCTTTGGCATGATGATCTTGGTTGCCATACTCTCGGAGACGGGCGTGTTTGATTATCTCGCTGTTTATGCATATAAGATCACAAATGGACACGTCTGGCCTCTCATCAATTGTTTGTGCTTCTTTACGGCCATTTTGTCGTCGTTTTTGGATAATGTTACAACGGTGCTGCTGATGACACCGGTCACGATACGCCTCTGCGAGGTCATGTCCCTCAATCCGGTGCCCATCTTGATGTGCATGGTCATCTACTCGAACATCGGCGGCGCTCTAACCCCTGTGGGCGATCCACCAAATGTCATTATTGCCTCGAATAGCTACATATCCAAGAATGTGAGTGCTTTTAAATAACATATAGATGATTGAAGCTATCTGTGATTGAACTGATTGATTGAATGAATGAATGCATTCAGCTTTAGGACTTAAAAACCTACCGGAATCAAATAGTTGCTGTTAGTCTTTATATATAACTTTGCTACACTGATTGATAATTGCTGATGAACTAAATTCAGATTGAGTACTTCAGAGAGCAGTTAGCAATAATCTAGCTTAAGGAAGACTCTTAAACCCTACCAAAACCAGGTAGTTGCTCCTTGATATATAATTTTACTGATATAAATAACTCTGCTATTTGAACTTACATATTAAATCCAGCTTCAGCATAATAATAATCACTTAAACATCTAAATTAAACAAGAAACTTAAATAATAATAGAATTCTTGATATTCCCGATATATATCCCGACTGATATTATCTCAATTGCAATTGCAGGGCGTTAACTTTGCTGTGTTCACTCTTCACATGTTGCCCGGCGTCATTTTGGTGATGATCCAAACATATTTGCAGCTGCGCTACAAGTTCCGCAATATTAGTGATCTGCAGTTCAAGGACTCGCCTGAGGTGGAGGAACTGCGTCACGAGATTCACGTGTGGAAGCGAGCAGCAGCCAGTCTCTCGGCCTACTCCAAGGATGAGGAACTGGTGCGTCAGACGCTGATGAAGAAAGTGAATCGCCTGAAGCGCAGTCTCAAGAAACGCATTACGGCCGTCGTCGTCCCAGCGCCCAACTATCAACAGACCCTCGCCAATCTGCAGGCCAAGGTGAGTTTACATTAATATGCATATGCATATGTACGAGTTGTGTTCAAAAAGTATCGCGAATTTTGAATTTTCGCGGGTAACGTATATTCGAATTTCGATTTTTTTGTAGCGTTATGTTGGTACTCATGTCTCTCACTTATGCCGACAAGCTCGGCCATTTTGAATGTTCACTTAATTGTTGACAGCTGCTTTGCTTGCACGTGTTTTGGATCGTCTTCGATTTTTACCTATTCAAAAAAATGGATCAAAGAACCTGTATCAAATTTTGTGTGAAAAACGAAATTAAGTGCGCGGATGCATTCCGAATGTTGATTGTGGCATACGGAGAAGCTACCTTGGACCGAAGCAACGCTTATCGGTGGTACAAAATGTTCTCAGAAGGCCGAGAAGATGTGAACGACGAAGAGCGTGCCGGACGCCCGAGCACTTCAACAACAGACGAAAAAATTAATGGAGTGGAGAAAATGGTATTGGCCAATCGTCGAATCACCGTTAGAGAAGTTGCTGAGGAGCTAGACATATCGATTGGCTCATGCCATTCGATTTTTATCAATGATTTGGGCATGAGACGGGTCGCCGCCAAATTCGTACCAAAATTGCTCAATTGCGACCAAAAACAGCATCGCATGAACATTGCTAATGAGATGTTGGACTCTGTGCGCGACGACCCAAATTTGCTCCAGAGGGTTATAACTGGTGACGAATCGTGGGTTTATGGTTACGACGTGGAAACCAAAGCTCAATCATCTCAATGGAAGCTGCCGCACGAACCAAGACCGAAAAAAACGCGCCAAGTTCGGTCGAATGTGAAAGTTTTGCTGAATATTGAATATTACCTGCAAGTTATGCGCAATTTGCGCGAAGCACTCCGCCAGAAACGCCCGGATTTGTGGAAAAACAAAAATTGGCTTTTGCACCACGATAACGCCCCTGCTCACACATCGTTGCTTGTGCGCGACTTTTTGGCCAAAAACAACACACTAATGATGCCGCAGCCACCGTATTCCCCAGATCTGGCCCCCTGTGACTTTTTCTTGTTCCCTAAACTGAAGAGGCCCATGAAAGGACGACGTTACGCTACGCTTGACGAGATAAAGACGGGATCGAAGGAGGAGCTGAACAAGATAAAAAAAAATGATTTTTTGAAGTGCTTCGAAGATTGGAAAAACCGTTGGCACAAGTGTATAATATCTCATGGGGATTACTTTGAAGGGGACAAAATAGATATTCATGAATAAATAAATAATATCTGAAAAAACACAAAATTCGCGATACTTTTTGAACACACCTCGTATATAGGAAAGAATATAGAAAGCTATAGCCATCTGGTAATTCAGGCCGAAAGACGAATCGCTGTCTTAACTTGATCAAAACTAAAACTAAACCTGATTATTATATTATTATATATATATTATATATATTTTGTCAATTCCCCAGTATCCGATACGGAATAAACCTCTGTTGATCAAGTGCACCGCAGCGTTGATCTTTGTGATCAGTTTGTTCTTTCTGCATTCGGTGCCGGAACTGCAGCGTCTCTCTTTGGGCTGGACAGCACTGCTCGGCGCGATATTCCTCATCATCTTGGCGGACATTGAGGATCTGGAGGCGATACTGGCGAGAGTGGAGTGGTCCACCTTGCTCTTCTTTGCCGCGCTCTTCATACTGATGGAGGCTCTAACCGAATTGGGCCTCATCGAGTGGATTGGCAACATGACCGAGAACATTATTCTAGGCGTCGGCGAAGATCAGCGCTTAATGGTTGCCATCTTGATAATACTATGGGTAAAATGTATATATTTTATATAATATTACTCTAGTTAATATATATCTTTAACTGTATCTGTCAGGTATCTGCTGTGGCCTCGGCTTTTGTCGACAATATTCCGCTGACAACAATGATGGTCAAGATAACCATTTCCCTGGCACAGAACAGTACCTTGAATCTACCCTTGCAACCACTCGTCTGGGCATTAGCTCTGGGCGCCTGTTTGGGCGGTAAGTAAATAGGGTATATATGTAGAGTATATGATTGCTAATATTCACATTGTATTTTGTCAGGTAATGGCACGCTGATTGGTGCCTCGGCGAATGTGGTCTGTGCCGGAGTTGCCGAGCAACATGGCTACAAATTCACATTCCTCGAGTTCTTCAAGTGAGTATAAGACAAATGAGAATATATATTACAAAAAACAAAACATGAAGAAACAGCTAGTCGTAGCAGCCACAGCTAGCTATAAATATTCTACTCTTTATATATTATTATATTAATCCAATTCCTTTTGCAGAGTTGGCTTTCCCATTATGATTGGCAGCATAATTGTGACAACTGGTTATTTGCTGGTGATGCATTCGCTCTTCGCGTGGCATTGACACTGATGATAATGATAACGATGACGATGATGATGATGAGATGCTGCCCCCAATTTGTGGCATGGTGTTGACTGTGTCGATTTCGAAACAAGGCGCACTTTACCTCGTTACCTATAGCTATAGCTAAAACTATAGCTGAAGCTAAAGCTGCAGCTACAGCAAAATGTTCAACATTCGACACTAAACTAAAACTCGTACAATTATCAGCTGCAGTTCGAATAATAAAAAGCGAGCCTAAATTTAGCGGCAATAACAAGCTGAAAAACAATGAATTTCTAAATATTATTATTAAAAGCATACTCGAAGTATGATAAGAGCATATTAAAAAAAGAAAAACTAAACTAACACTAAATGTAAAACTAAAACTAAACTAAATATATATTTGAGACAAGAGTTAAAAACAAATCACATTTATTTTTACACATCATTGTTAGTGTAGTGCGTAGTCTAATTAAAAAATACTAAAAACAAATAAACATAAAATGTAATTAAATAATTGTTTACACAAATAATAATAATAATTATGAAAAAATATCGCTGAACTGTGAAAGAATTGTTATATATGTATATGTTTTATGTACGAACAATTATTAATACAATAATTGCTGCTCGTCTTACATAATTTATTTACAAAAATATGCTATAGATGTATAATTAAAAATTCAATTGGTTTCCTAAAAATTTGTGTTGAAAATGTGCGAAAATGAAAAACAAAAACTAAACAAAACAAACATTATGTAAAAGTTTAAGTTCTTAATTTGTTATTATACAATTAGTGCTTTAGCTCTAGTTAAAAAAAGAAAGCCATAAGAACAATAAAATGTAAATCAATTATTTTAAATGTCTGCAAAATTAAGTTGTTAATTGGTTTTAGGCGGGATGTAAGAGTTAATTTAATTTGTTGGTTTTTTTGTGCACTTTTTGTATTATATTTTTATTTATTTTTACGTGCGCCTGTTTGTATGCAAGGTTTTTACAGACGAAGAGCTTAACAGCAGCTCAACAAACAGCAGCAAACAGCTCACTTAACAGGACTAGCTGAGCATTTCTTAGAGCAGCCTCGAAGTATGCTACATTTTTTGTCAAATAAAATTGTAATAAAATAATTAATTGAATTAGTAAATATAATTAGGTACTTCAGCCATGACACTCAACTAATACATGTTTTACTTAATCACAGTTAATTGTTAAGCGTTTAGTTAAGGGGTAAAAGTTGTGTACGTGCGTCTGCTGCAACTAATCAGTTGTCATTTGAACATGCAGTAAAATTTGTCAACACTTGAAAATCTTTTATGGCGAAGCCAAAAGCAAAGCAAACAATTGTTGGCCATTTATTTTCCATTATTGCCACATGCTTGTTGGCCAATTGTGTTTGCAAATCATGCATTGACCGCAATGTGTCGCTGCACTCAGAAAAAAATTGTCTTAACTTTTAATAAATCGCTCCAAAAAATGCAAACTTTTTTTTTATTTTTTATCAATCACTTCTAAATATTCGCAAAAAGTTTCTAAAATTTAGAAAGCCTTGCCCTAAAAGTAATAGAAAACCTAATATCAGAATTCCTTTACTTTTACTCTTCATAAAGGTACACTCATAAATTTTAGAAATTTACTTTCTCAACAATTGAGAGACTAACGTAAAATGAGGTCGACTTTTTTGCTGAGTGTATGCACTTCAGCTTTAACCAATTGCTATGGTCCAATAGACACAGCTATTTTCTAACATAAATAGTTTTTATGCATATGTGTGTATGTGTTTATTGCATAAGACTGTCTTGGGTAATTAAACAAAATCGTTTTACACACAAATGTCAGCAATAGCTCAACTAACTGAAAAAATATGCAGGTGGGCGTAAAGGGTTTTCACTGGCAGTCTGTTATTTATCTGTCATTTTGCTTATGCAAATGTTAACAGTGTTTTGAGCTTCAGTGCGTTGCTTGCTGACAGGTTTCACTCTACAGTCTAACAAGAGGCTAGTGTATGATTATATATGCAATTAGGTCGTTCAATGAACTTGAAAAGGCACACAAAAAAAAAAAACAATTCTATTTGAAAACTAAATAATAGCTATCTTTGAAATGTAGGCTTGTAAATAATAAATAAATAAATTTATGTTCACTGCTCATTATTTAAATAGGTCACTCTGTATACACTTTTTGCAATTGCTGCTAACTGGAAAGCTGCTTGATAAAATAACGCCACTTTTGCACATTAACATTGTTCTTTTTCCTTTGAGATTTATTGATAGGTTTTTAAAGAGCTTTGTTATGTTATGTTATGATACGTTATGTTATGCATGCATGTAAGTTATTTGATGTTATGTTATATATGTATGTATGTATGTATGTTATGAAATATATGAATGTATGTGTCTGACGATTATTCACATCTGTCATTGTAAATTGTCATTGCAAAACTTCCATCCGTAAATTATTATTATTTTTTTATTTTTTTAGCCCATCAATGTCAAGCTGAGTGATTCATACTAACCAATTAACTAAAGTTTCTCGTAAGATAAACATGTAAAGTCATTCAATTAGTTAAAACAACAGGCCCAAATACAGCACAGGACAGGGCTAAGCAGCCTGTCAAACTTTCAAGAAATACACACATACATATAAAAATAGACATATATGTAGATAATTGCACAGAAGTGGCAAAAAAGTCACAGCCACCTGTCAAGCTACGCCCCAGCATAAGCAGAGCAGAAGCAGAGCAAAGCAAAAACAGCGAAAGGCAGAAGCAGATCAAAGCAGCGCAGAAGCTGCGCATTTTAAGCCGAGTGCGCCAATTTGAGCAGCGCTGACGTTAATGGATCAAGAGCCGGCCTATAAATGAGAGCACGAAATTGAAACCGAAACCGAAACTGAAAGCTAAGGCGAAAACTAAGACGATGCCGAAGCCTGCAAGACAACAACAACAACAGCAGCAGTGACGCATGCGCGAGGCTGTTACACGAACGAAGCATGCGCGAAGAACAATAACAACAACAACAATGCTGTTACGTGATGTTCAATGAGTGCGCGCTCCACCCAAAACCAGAGCTGTGGCTGAGACGAAGTCGCAGCGACGCTGCCTGCGCGTGTTGCATGCACTCGGTTTATTTTTTCACTCTCCATTTCAGTCGCCGCGCAGACGCGAACTGGGAATGGTTGTTTAACGGCAAAATGTGCGCAGTAAAACAACATTGATTAAGAAATTCCAAATCAAAAAACACTAAAGCCAAAATGTACGAAACGTAACGGTTAATAAATATATATATACAAGTGTGTGTATGTGTGTGTGCGTAACTAAGCCATTTGTATGTGGCTGGTGTAAACTTTGCTATTTTTGGAGCCAAATCTAAATTGAAATTGAATCCGAAATTATATTAAGCTTTTGTGCGTATTTTGAAGTCGAAACTTGGCGTCGCTTTCGTTTTTAACAAATATTTTGCTTACGCCGCTTATTAGCAAAGTGTTAATTTAATTAACAAATAAAATTTACTAAAGTAAAAGTATTAAAATTTACAACAGAAATATATACACATTAATGATATGACAATTAAAAATTGTAGTGACAAAAATTCCAAAAGACAAGGCCACATAAAATAGTTTAAAAAAAATAACAAAAACAGTTAAAATATAAACAGAAGACATTGAGCTCAGGCAAAAACCCTAACAAAAAAAATCAACAAATAAAAACAACAACAAAAAGCGCATTGAACAAAAAGTGAGAGTGATTTCCAAACAGATTTTTTTGCCGTTCCGTTTTTTTATTTTGTTTTCATTCATTTTGTTGTTGTTGACGCTTTTTTGTGTGTGCGTTTGTGTATGTGTGTGTGTGTGTGAGTGTTTGCATATCGCATTTTTGAAATACTTTGCTCAGCTGACGCACACATACATGCAGAGCGTTGCCAGACTGAGTCCAAATTCTTCTTCTACAACAACAACAACAGCTGTTTCATAATCCTTTATTTTTATTTTGTTAGTTTGTTAACATTCGCTAAATGCTGTGCCGCTGATCATGTTTTGGCCAAAAAGACAACAAGAAACGCTATTTGTTGGCCTGTGGCTGGCGCTGCTTCTTGGCCTGCTTCAACGTAAGTAAAACGCTAACAACCGGTTTTCTTTTTAAGACTAGACTCTAAACTTTGATCACAGAGCCAGCTTAGACCAAAACTCAAAACTGGCTAAAAGCGCGTTTTCGAAATTATTGCCGGTCTTTGTGTCAAGGTCGTCTCTGCGTCTCTCTCTCTCTCTCTCTCTCTTGCGTTTGTTGTGGCTAGTTGATTTGATTATCTCTATTAACAAGTTTTGATCTCTGCTTAAAGTTTACATTTACTTTGTTTAAAAAACAGAAGATAATTGAAAAAGAGCACTTTAAGCATTCTCAACAGCTTTAAAGTGCTCTTCACTAATTATCTTCTGTTCTTTTTTCTTGAGGCTCAACACGTAGATCAAAAGTTAAGCTAGGTCAGTTCTCTTGAGCTAAAAGTTATTAACCACACAATGGATAACCCTGAATTTGCTATATAAGCAAGTTTTATTATGCTCAAGTTGCTAAAGTCATCGAATTATAAAAACTACCTAATGAGTTATCTACACTCGGAAAAACTACGACTTGAATCTTAAAATAATTTACTAATAATAAATACTTTTGGCGTAAAAAAAAGAAGAATTAGCCCTTCTGAGCAATAATTATAAACCTTATTCAGAATGTATATTTTCTCAATATATCTAATTTTCAGTGTGTTTTTCCATATGTGTACAACTTTCTCATTTGCACAACTCTTTTTCTGAGTGTAAGGATTATCTTTAATAACATGTACTCAGAGTGCTTTAAGATCTACACTTAACTGACATTGAGAATATGTCCAGTAATTTGAAGTTTCCTTTGTTATAATCTTATAATAATAATATGGGTATAAAGAGTTCTGGCAAATTATATAAAATACACAAGGAAGCAATTACGAGCCGATATAGATCAAAAGTCGAGTCGATTTCCAGTTCCTTTTGACTGTCTTTATGATCAAGCCGATCTAAATTACTATAAGACCCAGAAACTTAAAATTTGGTTTATAAGTTCTCATATATCTTAAACAGTTGAGTTTATTTCATTTTATTGATAACCACGCCCGTTACGCGAATATCGATATAAATCGATTAACGATAGCAATAAAAGGCACAATTATCAAGATATAGCCTACCATTTGATATATAAAGTAGCCTGACATATTATTGATAGCCTGTAAAGATTTCATTAAGTAAGAATAAAATACACAGATCTATTTAAGCAAAACATAAGACAAAAATCAGTAAAACAACTATTTACTTAAAAGCTGTCTTCAAGGGTATCTCCAGGTCGTGTACTCTCGACAATAGCATTCTTTACATAAACACTTATATATATGCCGACATTAATTGTTGTATAACAAACAGCAAAAACACGAGAAAAAACCGTCAACAGAGCAAGCCAAACTAAAAGTCGGCCCATAAAAGTGCTTGTTGCATAACCCAAAAGCGACGCTCAGAAAGTCAAAATCTTTGCTCAGTGTTTGAACTGCAGATAAAACTGAAAACTCAAATTATTTTTTATGTGCAGCTCAAAATGTGAATGGATTAATTGTGCCCGAGCAGCTGACGTCATTCCTGTCGCTGGTCTATTCCAATATACCGCCCATCAAGAAGGGTAAGTAACAAAAAAAATATAAAATGAAATATGTTAAATTAAATATATAAAATGAAATAATACATATATAAAATAAAATATCCACAGCTAAATAGTATAAATAAATATATATCCAAAACAGGTACCGATTCGCGACTTGGTTTCGGTTTTCGACTGGGCGATCATGCTGATTTTCAGGTGCTGCTCGAGCTGGGACCCCAGAAGGACACTCAACCGTTGGGTGATCCCAACAAGGAAGATCAATCCTTCAATAAGCGGCAGGTGAGCGCAATTGATCAGCGTGCTCAGCTGCGACGCCAGCAGCAGCTGCAGCAGCAGCAGTCACTGTTGACCAGCACCGAACGCAATGCGGCCAGCTGGCTGGAAAGCTGGTCGAATGGAATGAAACCGCTGGAGGCGAAACCTAAAACGAAGCTGAGTAGCAAACAGAGAGCGAAATTGGCGTTGCCTGTGCAGAAACAGATGCCAACGGATGCAGTGCAGCAGCTGCAATTGCTCTACAAAATGGCCGCAACAACAACAACTACGACAACAACAACTCCAACTCCAACAACGATCAAGGTTGATTTTCTGAAATTGCCACCGCCTGCACTCGAACAGAATACAAATGCCTTGGGTTTGAGCAGATCGACAAAGAAAAGCCAAGCTGAATTAACCGAGGAATTGATGAATGTCAGTTTAGAGGCTTAAGTGGTGCATTTGTATTGTATTGTGTATATATTGTGGTAAGAGTATTTGTAAATAAAACACATCTCGATTAATTTGTTATTTAAAGTGTCATATAAATTGAAAAGTAAATTAAATGCTTAAATTCGCTGTTATGTTTTTAAATTGCAAATTGAATAGCATAGCCAGCGTTGCCAGCCCGCCTAAGAACGGTCATGCGTTAACAGAGCGCTTAATGTTAGCAGCTGATCACGCACTGCACTCAACAGAGGTTGAGTAGAAACCGTTATCAGGTAAATGCGACTACAGCAACAACAATAAGGCTCGCAATGCGTTTGAGCTTCCCAGTGTAAAGCAGATCATTGCAGCCAGCAGACATCTCGTGCCGTGTATAGATTATTTATTTTATATGTATATATGTATGTTGGATTTCATGTAATATACGTGTGTGTGTTATGTGTATTTATTCATACCTATCACAATAAGCAATTAGATTAAAAACAAACATGTTACACGCTTCCGCTGTGCTGTTCACGATTACAATTCCAACCGCGCTAGAAGAGCAGCGCCTGAAGGAAGCCTACATGCAACAGTTTAACGAAGATGCGACTACAACAGTAACAGCAACAACAACAACCACTGTTAGAAGCTCATCATTGTCGGCAGGCGATGCGCAAAGTTTGCAGAAACCCCATCAGGTGTTTGACTCACCGCAGCTGGATAAGAACAGTAGCAGAAGCAGCGCCAGCAACGTCGGCAGTTACAAGCGTCGCCAGCTGTCAGATGTTGTTGAGTCGGCGGAGTTGACAGAACTGCCGCTGGATACGGCGATGGAGCATGTGCTGCAGCAGATCTTGCGTAAATTTCACATTTCCAATGCTCTCTGGCTGCGCAGTCGGGAAGGCAACACATTCCAGATCAGTTTCACACTCGAGTTCGATGAGCTATACGAGAATCTCTACGAGGCGCTCCAGCAATGGGGCATTGGAGATCGCGAAGGTTCCTCGGTGTGTGTCATGAATTGCATTGCCTCCAAATCGTATAAAATGAATCCACAACAAATTGATAATCAGCCCCAGGGCATACCTCAAGCGGAGTGAGTACCAGTGGATTTAACATATATTCCACTTATATTTCCAACGGTTTATTTCCAGCGGGCATAGCAATCAGAATGCCCAGAAACAGGGCGCCTGGAATCGGTTTATGAATTCGGTTAGATCGCGTTTGAATGTGGCACAAGTTGTGAGAGATGTGCGACAGGATGCGGCGATAACCTTTGACTTCTGCGTACTCCTCATCTCGGCAGCGTAAGCAATATATATCTAATAATATATATAATAATTTAATATAATATAATATATAAGCAATATATATCAAATATATAGAATATATTCAATGCTAGCAATTCACATATTATTTTCTTTAGATCTGCATACAATTTGTATAAAAAGTAAAAATTTTAAAACCAATCTAAATTTAAAAGTTAGCCAAGCAGATGAAAATCTGATTTCCCCTTTATGCGCACTCTGAGTTATATATCTATACTTGTATCTATCCTACACCTATCTTTAAGTATATATGTAAATATATCAACTCAATTCCTAAACCTTACTAAACCTTGTATCTATCCTTGCAGGATATTGGCATCTTTTGGCCTGGTGGAGAACAGCACAATATTTCTGGCCTCAAGCATGTTGATATCGCCGCTGATGGGACCAATCATTGCAGCGATCTTTGGCACGGTGATCGAGGAGCGTTCGCTCAGACAACTCGGGATGCGAAATGAGCTAGTTGGCATACTGATGGCCACACTGGTGGGCTTTGTCTTTGGATTAGTTGTGTGCACCACGGATGCGAAATATGGCATTGGTGAGGGACTCACCGAGGAGATGCTCTCCCGCTGTGATCTCCACTCGCTCGTCGTCGGTTTCTTTACGGCGATACCATCGGGTGCCGGGGCAGCCATTGGCATATTGGGTGGGAATATTGGTTCGCTGGTGGGCGTGGCTATTTCAGCATCCCTTCTCCCGCCAGCTGTGAACTCGGGTCTGCTCTGGGCACTGGCTTGCATCTATAAGCTCTTTGAGAACGATGATTCCTTGTACAGGGATGTCATCAAGTCGAGCAAGTATTCCCAAAATCAGGGCACAGAACTGGCCATCCTGGGCAGCATCAGCATGTGTTTGACCCTGTGCAATGTGCTCTGCATCTATTTGATGGGCATCCTCGTGCTGAAGATCAAACAAATTGCGCCTGTGATTGGACGCAGCAATCGAGAGTTTTGGAAGCATGACATTAAAGTGTCTCGTGGGGATGCAGCGATTATTGATGAGCTGCTGGCCAATCTGGCTAACGAGGATAATGGACAGTTTCTGCGTCACCTGGATGAGGCTGGCTATCAGCACACTTGGTCGCCGCGCAGCATAAGGCACAGTTTCTCCACACAGCTGCCGGCAACGTGTGGCGTCGCCACCATCCATCGACTGGAGCAGTTGTACTCGCAATCGCTGGCTAAGCCTGTGCAGGAGCAGCGTCTCGCTGAGCGCAGGCATACGATACGCAGCGTGGACCTACAGAAAGGGGTAAGCAATCCCGGGTAGCACAATGATTACTCTTCTCAATTGTTGCCCTTCTCTTCCATTCAGCGTCCTCGCTTTGCCAGCATGCCCTCGCATCAGAGTCGCCAGCAGCTGCATTTGCCGGAGGCCATCATTACAATGCCCGTGCCACGCTTTACAGTCACCCCGGCTGCGGATGATGTGCTCCACTTATAGTCTATAGATCACTAAGCTACGACCTCATCTTTGTTGTAAACAGTGTTTAATATTGTTTTTTTTTTTTTTGCAAAATTAGAAATTAAAAATCTACGCCGCTGGGTGTTTGTCTATCCGCTTTAATCTGGCCGCGTTCGCGTTTCAGTTGCAGTCGCTGCCTGGCTGCCTGCTCGTGACGACGACGCAGCTTTTCCAGCGTCTGCTCGCTGGGACCCACTGGCTCCACTTCCTGGGCGCGTATTAACGTGCGCAACTTTTCCAATGCATCCGCCAGATTTAATTGCTGGGAGCGCGTCAAATCGCTCTTAATGAAAAAATAGCCCTCCTTGTTCAGCTTGTTGGCCAGCACCTGGAGCAACTTTTGGCGCGTCTTCTCCGGTATCCACTGTGCCTCGGCCAGCTTAAAGCGTACATCAACTTTGGTGTTCACTGTGTTCACGTGCTGACCACCCGGACCCGAGCTGCGACTATAAGTGATATCCAACTTGTCCATAGGTATATAGCCATTGAATTTGCCATCGCTGCTCGCCTGTTAGAACTTACTTTAAGTCAAGATTTCCATTAAATATTAATTCATGTAATACTCACTGCGGGCGGCGGCGGCGTATAAAGTTGCAAGCGTGCATTTGGATAGATCTTCTCCAGTGATAAATCGCTCTTGTAGGAGAGCTGGCGACCCAACAGCGCTGCGGAACTGTAGGATTTGTTGGTGTGGCGCAGTACGCTAATAAAAGCACACGTTACTTTGTTCATTTTCTATATAAATAGTTGAAATGCAATATTAAAAAAGGCAGCCAAAACAGCGGCCTGTTACGACAACAACAGAACAGCTGAGCGTGATGAGCTGCCAACTGCCTAGATTCTTAACATTCACAATTATCGACTCACTATCGTTATCGATCAGAGTCTGCACAAAAAACTTTTCCTTACTAAGTTGCGTGAATCAAAGTGTATTTCATATTATTTTAAGTACTGTTAAAATGTATTTTAAATAGTTATTGTTTTAAGTATTGCTAATTTTCAATATAAATATCGAGTTGCAGCTGAGCGCGCTGCGTTGCCAACTGCCTAAATTATTAACAGTCTCAGCCGTCGATTGGCCACCAAATGTTATCATTCACTCTCAGCACAAGAATGTTAGGCTGAGTTCTGAGTACGCGCTGTTAATAACACATATCGGCAAAGTTATCGGTTATCAGCGCACAGCTGATCGATGTTATCTGCCGCAAAGCGAAAACAAAAATCCAACACGTGCACAAAAAATGGAAGTGGATGAGGTTCAGCGGGAAACGGCGCCGGAGACGCCAATTGTTGCCAATCCCAATGCAAACATCATCACAGAACGCAATGCACAAATTATATCCGGTGGCAATGTGTTCTACAATCCCGTGCAGGAATTCAATCGCGATTTGAGCATCGCTGTGATCAATGTTTATTTCCAGCAATTGGTCAAAGAGCGCGCTGAGAAGGCGCTGAAGCAACTGCAGCGACAGCAGAAGCAACAAAATGCGGAAACACCACTGTCTACTCCTCCACCCATTCCCAGCTATGTGGCCGGCACACAGTACGAGGATGGCTTGCGGATTCTCGAGGCACTGGCAGCCACTGGACTGAGAAGCATTCGCTATGCCCAGGAAATAGCTGGCGTGCGTCAAATCATAGCCAATGACTTATCGAGACAGGCCGTGGAATCCATCAACACGAATATGGAACACAATAAGGTGGCGCATCTGATAGAGAGCAGTCATGCGGATGCCATGTAAGCATTCGAATTTTATGAATTCCTAGCAAGGAATCTAGTTTCTAAAATCTAAAAAGGGGTATATCATTGTCCTGACATGCGAAACAGTTTGTTCGGCCTGCGGTATGTACTTTTTATCCGTTCATATTGCAGACTATTTAACTTCTTAATAACAAAGCATATTTTACACACAATCCTTTAACTCCTGCAACATGCCACCAAAATGTTCTCAACTTGTTATCCTTTGCAGGACACTGATGTATCTCTCGACTGCGCCACAAAAGCGTTTCGATGTCGTCGATCTGGATCCGTACGGTTGCCCCAATCGTTTCCTTGACGGCGCACTGCAATGCCTAACCGATGGTGGCCTGCTGCTCGTCACAGCCACCGATATGGCTGTGCTCGCTGGGAATGCACCCGAATCCTGTTACGTTAAATATGGCTCAGTGCCGCTGAGGATGAAGTGCTGTCATGAGATGGCGCTACGCATTCTGCTGAACTGCATCGCAACGCATGCGAATCGTCATGGCAAATACATCGAACCACTGCTCAGCATCTCGGCAGATTTCTATGTGCGCATCTTCCTACGGGTCTACTCGGGTCAGGCTCAGTGCAAGCTGAGCATGAGCAAGCAGTCGTGGTTATATCAGTGCACCGGCTGTGAAACGTTCACTTTACAGCCACTGGGCACAGTGCGCAGCAAGTCCGCCGAGCAGCCGCACTTGCTCAAGTTCGGCTTGCCCACTGGACCCGCTGTGAACAGTCGCTGTGAGCACTGCTCGCATCGTCATCATCTGGGCGGACCCATCTGGTCGGCGCCCATCCACCAGACGAGCTTCGTTCAGCAGCTGCTGGAAGCGGTGCAATCGTCGACGTCGCCACTCAATGCGCTCGGCACTCAGCGTCGCATTGTCGGTGTGCTCTCCATGGTCCAGGAGGAGTTGCCCGATGTCCCGCTCTACTACACCCCGGACAAGTTGTGTTGTGTGCTCAAGCTGGAAATCGTGCCCATGCTGAAGATGCGTTCGGCTCTGCTCCACGCTGGCTATCGTGTCTCCTACTCGCACGCCAACAAGAACTCGCTGAAAACAGATGCGCCACCTGCTGTGCTCTGGGATCTGTTGCGTTGCTGGAGCAAGCGGCATCCGGTGCGTGAGAATCGTCTTATACCAGGCACGCCCCTGCAGGCGATACTTTCGCAACCTTGCTCCAGGGATTATGAGTTTGATGAGCTGCACGGGGAGGCGAATCCGAGCAGTCGGAGGCAGGTCTTGTCACGCTTCCAGCAAAACCCGGCGCCACATTGGGGTCCAGGCACGAGAGCCACAATTATGTAAGTACTGCACTATATATATACACAACTGGACAATAAAATTGGTGTGAAGACAATATGCAAAATAGAATAGAATAAAATTCTGAAAGAAAATGGCAGAACATTCTATGGAATGATTAAAATTAGACATTTTTATTGCTCGTCACCAAAATATAAAGAATTCTTCATTAAATACATTAAAAAAGCCAACAATTTATTGTCGTCACACCTATTTTACTGTCCAGATGTGTATATTATATACAAAGAGATTATTAAGATTATGTTTCCCTTTGCAGGATTGGTGAAAATAAACTGCCCAAAAGTTATCGTAATCAAAACAAAAAGCAACAACGTCATAAAGCGGCACAGCAGCCGGCGGCACATGAGGATGATGTAGATGAACTCCAAGCACGACAACTGAACGAGGACGAGGAGGATCACCAGCTGGAGTTGGAGGAGCAGCTGCCCGCCAAGCAAGCCAAACTGGCGCCGACTGCGTGACCAGCATTTATTTTATTGATTTTCTTGTTGCTCTCTCAATTTGTATTTGCCATTTGTCCAAATGATGTTGACGATGATGCTGTAAAAACACAATTTGACACCACAAAAAATAGCTCAGCTTATCATTCCGTGTGTGAAGCGGGGCAGTGGCAAGTGGGGTGCAGCAAAAGTACTGATTCAGTAGCGGAAGAAGTTGCCATCGGATGTCTGGCGAGAGAAGCCATTGTTCACCAGCTGCGTGTGGACTCCGCTGCAGATCAGCTTGACCCGAGATGGATGAATCTTCTCTTTGCAACCGCCTGTTGAGGAGAGGCGAGAGATTTTAGATTACTAACGAAGAGCTGAGAGATTGAAGGGGAGTAACAGGCTAACTAAATACCCTGCATCAAAACGCTCATTCATACCATAAATGCAAGCTATTCATCTAAAAAATTGTATATTTTAATTTTGCTTGGTTTTTTGGAATAATGCATATTCTATATTTAATTGTATTATTATTAAATACAGTAAAATATCAGCGAAAGGAGTTCGATATTGATGTTCCCTATATGGGAGCAGTGTTCCATAACTTTGAAAAATGCCTATACGTGTCGGTAGATGTCGCTCTGTGCGATTATCCCATGGAGCTCATGTAAATTCAAATTGAGCTTATGCGTAAAGAAAACTGATTAAATACCATGTAAAAATGAGTTTTAAGGCTAAAACTAAATACTCTTTAACAAATGAGTCAGGAGAGTAACCTAAATCGCCTACAATATCAAGTTACAGTTCCAGTTCAAGTTCTGCTTGACTCTACTCAACTCGATAACTTGATCAACACTACAAAGTTATTTGAATCTATCCGTTACAGAGCTAAGTCTCCTCACCGAAAATTAACCCAACTCAACTCAGCTATCAACTCACCAATGATCAAAGGATGCCCCAGTGAATCCTGCATTTTAACCCGTACAACTTGCGTATTCCTCAGCACTCGGAACAAATTCATCCTGGCGTTGGAGCCCACCTCCGACTGGCCATATGGCGCTGCCCAGCTGGGCGTGGCGCCACAAGTGTCCCTTTGCAACACTGCATCGACTTTCTCGGGAAATGTTTCCCTTCCATGATCGTAACGCGCCTGCAACTGGAAATCCAGCGAATCCTTGGGAATACTCGCAGTGGCACGAAAACGTTTGCTATAGCGAACGGAACTCATTGTCTGGTGGTAGAAGAGACGCTCGTGTGGCGCCAGGTGGGCGTGCCAACTCTCTACGCCCATTGGCGGCGAGGGGGGCTTTGGCATGGGGCAGATGTATTTGCCCTCCTTGCGCAAATCCGGCTCGTAGGAGTCGTTGCGCACCATCTTGTCCATATACATTTTCTTTACTTATTTCTTAACTGTTTTCACGAATTTATAGCAAAATTCAATAAAACAAAATAAATTTGAAACTTGGAAGTTGTTACGTTGTGTTGGAAATGTTTTGTCAATAAACCCAGCTGATTCCCATTCACCTCCTCAAAAAAAAAAAAAACGATGAGCTTTGCATTAAACTTCAAAGCTTGCTATAAGCTTTGGTTGAAATGGCCTCGACTCAAGCTTTTTTACAAGCAGTCTCCAAGTACACCGACAGCTCTCCAAAGTGCTGGAGGATCGTTTGTAGCTAGTAAAAGCAAGTATTTTTATTTCATTTAGAAATACAGCTGTTTCCATTCATCCCACGCTCAAAAAACAAAGCTTTTCAATAAATTGCTTGAATTAGCTGCGATCGGAGCTTTATTAGGCTTTGACAAGCACTCTCCAATTACACCAATTACAGGAAATTCCAACTCTGATCATTCTTAGCTAATAAAACACAAGCTTTTTATTTTATTTTTATTTTTTTGTACTTTATTTGTAAATTCCCTGTAACAGAACTGGAATGTTAACTGTATGTTAGCTCAACGCTAAAACTTACCTGCTATATTCCCAGATCTATTCAGCATTCTCACAGATGTATACAGGGTGTCCTTTCAAGGGGGGCTCGCTCTCTTTTTCAGTCATCGGCTACAAATTTTCACTAAAGTCAAAAGTGGGCCCCAAAACAAACAGCAACTAGTACGAACAAGTGAAGTGGAGAAGGGCAGCAGCAGCAGCAGCAGAAACACGCCAACGGCAAACAAAACAGCGAAAAGTTGAGCAGCAGACACCAACTTCGGCAGCAGCACCGCAGCAACAACGGCTGCAACAGCAACAATGTATGTATGTGTGTGTGTGTCTGTGTGGGGAAGATCGAAGCAGCAAACAACAGCAGCAGCGAAGTTTGCGGAGTCTGCAGATTAACAGCAACAGTTTACAGCAACAACAGCAGCAGCATCAGCAGCGAAGTTTGCAGTCTGCAGATTAACAGCAGCCCAGCAGCAGCGACGCGACGATCTCCGCTCTCGTTGTCTGCTCTCGCTCAGAAAAAAACACACACGCTGCTCTCTCTCTCTCTCTCTTTGCTCTCTCCGCGCTCTAGCTCTCGCACTCTCCGCCCTGCTTCTCTCTCTTTCTCCCTTGCCCACGCACGACTCTCGCCAGCCATATATAATAACATTTACATTATTAACAGCGACGGCAACAGCGACGGCGACGGCGCAGCAACCAACGACTGCAACTGCAACTGCCGCACACACTTTGGCCTGCGTATATATAAATGTGTAAAATGGAATGGTGGAAAGCTTGTTAATAATGTTTTATCGATCAAATGAAACAGATAGAAACGAAAACAAAAAAACACAAAGTAGGAGCAAGTTGTTTTCTAACAGTAACAGTAACTGTTAACTGTTTACCTCGAGAGTTGTTTTTGATTTGAATTTTTGTTTTGAGTTTGAGTTTTATTTTTTGTAGTTAGCTACACAAATTATTAAATGGCGCCCAAAATTAAATGCTACACATACAACCCTAAATGTACCCTTGAAATTACTATATTCTTTTTTTTTTTTTGTTTTTCCCATTAAAAAAAAAGAAAACTGAAACAAAGTAAAAAGTTGACCTGAACAATAAAAAACTTATTCCTCTGCATATAAAATCTAAGCTCTGTGTTTAAGTTTTGTATTAATTCGTTTAGTTCTTTCATTTCTTTTGCTCAGTTTTGTTCTTTTTTTAGGTTGGTTCATCAACTTAAAATAGTGTACTCTATATAAATATTCTGTGTACGTGTGTGTGTATATATGTGTGTAATTGTAGGGTTTAAAACTTTTTTTTTTTTTTTTTTTTTTTTTTGTATACCTGCTGTTCTGGTACACAGCATGATGAGAAGATTTTTAGATCGATCTGCAGCCCACTTGAGGAGTTCCCTGGATAGCATTGTCCACTCGAGTCAATTAAGGCTGAAAGTGGAAAAGAATTTTAAATTTAATTATAATAATTAAATAATTATAATTCACCAATACAGTGAGCGCTATAAAAATGAGAACTAGTTCAAGTTTTAGTTTTACTTTCCCAGACAGATCTGCAACTCAAAATGGTAAATAGTTCACCATTCTAATTTGCAAGCGATCACTCTGCATAGATAACTCTATGTATGTCGATAAATCTCTTACCTTATCGTACATCAAAAGTATATGGAACGTCTGAAGCGGCTTAGGAGGTTGGGGGTTGGGGGAGAGGGGCGTACGGTGTCGCCATTTTAAGAACGACTGCGGCTGCGCGAACCGCCGGCAGCTGCTAAGCCGCTGCCGATGCCATTGCGACTGTCGCCGCGCACCGGACTCCTTGAGAATTTGCTGCGGCGAACCGGCGAACGGCTGCCAGCCGATCGAGAGCGCGAACGCGGCGAATACGAACGTCGACGCGGACTGCGCGACGCTCGTCGACGCATCGGCGAACGAGAACGCGAGCGACGTCGACCACCCGCCCCGCCCCCAGCTCCAGCACCGAGGCCAGCGCCGCGACGACTGCTGCTGCTGTTGCGTCGCGTCGGCGACGAGGGACGACCGTAGCGTGCCATCTGCACCCGCAACTCCCTGCCGTCTAACATGCGACCGTCCATCGCTTCCAGTGCGTCCTCAGCGTCGCGCTTGTCATAGAAACTGTTAAGTGGAAGAGAAATTAGTTTTGATTTTTATTTTATTTTTATTATTATTTGCATTATTTTAATTTTATTATTATTTGCATTATTTTAATTTTAATTATTATATTATTTTTTAACTTGGTAATTTATTTGTTTAAGTTGTTGATAAACTGCAATTCTAATTTTCTCCACAGTGCATGTGCACAGTTATTCAATTGGAGCTGAAGGCACTGTTAAACTCAACAGGTAAAAAGGGGAAGAGGCTGTTAAAAATCATGTTGAATTCGCTTTATATTAACTAGAAGAGATTTTGACAGGCAAATTTAGTGTGTAGCAAATTTTCACTTTTTCATTATTATTAGTTTATGTCTTTAATAAATTGCAATTCTAAGCTAATTACACTTAATTTTTTTTCTAGGCACAATTATTCTATTAGAACTGGAAACGCAAGTTAAACTCAACAGGTGAAGGGGTCTGGGAGGCGCAGTTAAAAATCTTGTTGAATTCGCTGTATGTCGACCAACAGAAATTATGCTATGCAATTGTAGTTGAACGGGAAATGTTAAAAGCCATGTTGAGTTCGCTGTATGTTGACTAACAAGATGTTGCTAGGCAATTGCAATTGAAAACAGTATTTTTCTAGCATCTTTGCTTGGAACATGAACAGTAAATAAATCATGCTCCAAAGAAGTGCAGAAATGCTTATTTAAAATAAAAAACTGATTGTTGTATTCGCAGTATGTTGGCTAGCATTGGGTTTGGGTAGGCAACAGTTGCAATTGAACACAATTTTTTTGGCATCTTTGCTGAGAGTGTGTTTAATAAAATGATTTAAAACACGCTCGATTTAAAGCAGAAAATGCTAATTTATAACCTGATTACTGTAGTATTCGCAGTATGTTGGCTAGCATTGGGTTTGGGTAGGCAACAGTTGCAATGGAATACAAATAATCTGGCATAATGGTTATATATATATAAATCGAACACGAAAATTCTCGTGTTCGCTTTCTTCAAAATATGCGCATGTGTCGTATTTAACCTCACAAATTTGATGAACTTGCAAATTTGCTTCACTTCCAGTGCAATAAGGGCTTTCATCTTCCATTGGGGTTCACTTACCGTACGAAGGCGAATCCGCGACTTTCACGTGTGTAACGATCACGTGGGATATAAATATCGCCAACTTCGCCGCAACGCTCAAAAACACGGCGCAGATCCTCGGGCGTCGTGCGATATGTGAGATTATCGACCTGTATATAGAAATACATACATTATTATCTAACCCAAGACAGAGCAGGAATCAATTGCCGGCCGCCATTTTGTCTGGCTGGCTGGCTGTACTTTCGATTTCTCTTTGGGTGTATAGCGATTACTTGCCTTTAGCGAAACCATGCCATCGATTCGGGGCGGTGGTCGCGCATTTCCCCCCACACCTCCGCCGCCAGCATTGCTCATTGTATTTTACACTCTTTTTACGTTTCAATTACAATTATTACTTTTGCAAATGTACTTTTTGCGTTAGCACTTTTTTCGATGCTTTGCCTACTTGGCTTCCACTCGGCTCTTTTTTTATGAATGTATGCGATCCTATCGATGTGCAAACTACGTGCTTGCCAAATCGATTAATACAAAGAGGTTAGCAGCTCCACAAATATATCGCGTAATAAAACGATATATTGAATAATAAAGTGAATATATTTATAAGTGTTTTACGTTCTTGCAATAGGTGCGATATCGAATAATTGAAAGAAATTGGAAGTCCGTTGCATATATCGTTTCACTAAGCGATAGTCCGATTGTATACTACAAAAATTGTGCTTGCGATATTTCATCGATTAATTGAACAAGGTTGGCAGCTTAACGAATATATCGTTTCGTTTTCGATCGTATAATAAAATTAATATATTTTCAAGTGCTTTACACACATATTGGTTTCTCATTTTTTTTAACAAAACAAATGTGTAATTTACATTTAAAACGAAACTGATATATAAATTGTAAAGAGCGATAGCTTAAAAAACCTATCGATATAGTCCAGCCCTGGCATTGCAACGCGTGGCGGTGAAACGTGTAAAATTTTATACGAATTTTGGCAACAAATTTGCCAATTTAACGACAAAAACAAACTGTTTGTTGTCAGGCAGCCTCTAAAGAGTTGTATATAAATCGAATCCATTGCTGCCACAGAGCTGAAGAAGAAGAGAAAAAGAACTGAAGACTGAAAAGGAGAAGGTGACTGAAACGATTAAAGTTTCTTCACACGCATACAAACAAAAAAAACATACAGAGACACAGACACAAAGCAGACATTGAGTTGAGTGCACGAGAAAAGCGACGACGACGTCCAAGTTGGCAACGAAACGTTGAAAACACACTAAAAAAGCAACAAAAAAACAGCACACAAATTGAAAGGCTGCTCTGTCTACGCAGCTCTCCACCTCCTCCAACTAATCTCCAATCTCCTCGCCGACAACAGTCAACCGCGTGTTTGTGTTTGTTTGTGCGTGTGTGAGTGCGAGCGAGTGCGAGAGTAGAAGCAGTTGAAGAAGAGGAGGGCAAAAGTGTGTCGACGTCGTCGCCTGTGTGAGTGCGTGTGTGTGTGTGCGTGCGTGCGGCGAAGAAAAAAAGTGAAAATTTCCACTAAAGAAGATTGAAAAGCAGCAGCAGTAATAGCAATGGCAGCACAGGAAAACACCGAAGTAACAACAAAATTCTCCACATTGAATGTGAATGCAGTGGAATTTGTGCCCAGTTTTAGTTACAACAGCAGCAGCAGCAGCAGCAACAACACCAGCAGCAGCGCAGCAGCAGCGGCCGTTGCCGTATCAGCAGCAGCAACGCAAGCAGCGTCCGTCCCTGCGCCGCAGTCGACAGCACAACAACAGCAGCAGCAACAACAACAGTCATTGGAAAATGCAATTGCGCCTGGAAGTGAAATGGATACGAGCGGACTTCCATCGCTGCCGCCATCTGCAAGTGGAACACCGGCAACAACGCCCGATTCAACGGGCAGCGCTGCTTCCACTACAAATAATGCCGCCGGTGTCGTGGTCGCAGCTGCAACAGCAGCGCCCTCATCGGCAGCAGCATCAAATTCGACGTCGCCAGCGCTAGGTTCGCCTGTTAACACGCCCTTAACAGCGGCAGCGGTGCCCATTGAGAATATTATTGCAGCGGACAAAATATCAGCCAACAATGGTAAATATAAATAGGGGGAAGACACATACATATATGTATATACACGAACCTGTGAATGTGTGTGTGGGGGTAGTTTAGCAAATGTTAGGCGCATTGAACTTTTACATTTGGCTGTTGCTGCTGTCGTCTTTGTGACGTCACACGTGTCGCTTTGCAAAAAGACAACTTTTAGAAAAAAAAAAAATTATTCATATTTGCAGAAAATGTTTGGTTATCGGTCTAACATAACCTCAAAATGTTACTGAGTGTGTGTGTTGTGTGCTATGCTGTTATTGTCATGCACATAGGGGGCAGTGCAATATCCCTCCCCCTCTATCACCTAGTGAAGAATGTTAATGCAGCAGCTGTTCTTATTGCCTCTTACATTTTGCGTGCGTTCGCTTAATACCCGTCGTGTCAGTGATGCGCAGTAGTTGCGTGTCGTTACTTGTTCACTGTGACTTAACATGACTGCAAGCGAATTCTGTTAAACGTTATTATGTTTCTCTCCCACACTTAATTACAATTTTGTGGTCAACTGCGGGCAAAGTCGGTTAAATGTTTTGCCTGTATTTTGAGCTTATTATTTTAAGTCACTGATATTTATTTAACTTTTTCCACACCTTATTTAAAGCTTATTATTATCTTAACATGCACTTGTTATTCACTTATTTTTATTACACTTTATTTAAAGCAGGTTTTGGCATCTCTGTCACTGTGTTTTGACACGTTTACGTTTTCACTCGCATTCGGGTTGCCATTCGCTAGTTTGATCAAGCGAGCCAAAGCTCTTCTTGCTGGGAGGGGGAACCATTCACTGGCTCAGGCAACACTTGTGCCAGGGCTGCAACAAACACACACACACATATGTTGTTGTTGTGTCGCTTGTTGCTGTTATCGCCATGAGCAGCAATTGTTCTTGTTTTATATTGGCCCAAAAGGCAGTCGCTGTTAGTGTTAGTGTGTATCTGCGTGTGTATGCGGTTTGAACCGCTTTCAACTTGATTTTGAATGTTAGTCGAACGTGCGAGCTTTCCACTCAGCCAGCCAGCCACGCGTCGTGCTCTGTTTTGTTGGTTGCGTTAATTTTTGAACGTTGCAAATTCATTCATCGTTTTTTGTTTGCACATTAATTTTAATTTGCCGCCACATGTCACAAAAAGGCGACGGCGAAGTCAACGGCGAAATTCGTTGCATTGACACAAATGAAGAGCAAGCGAAGAAAAGTTAGTAACTGTTAAAATTGACCTACTGCCAGGCTGGAATTATAAGCTGCGCGCGCATAAGAAAACCATTTCCAGACTATGTATGTTTGTGTGCCTGTTTGTGTATGTGTGTGTGTGTGCTTGCTCTGATTTGCCTAGCGACAACAAATAAACTATATATTGGAAAGACGCATGTGTTTATTTCCCTCTCCCTCTCTCCCACAAGTGCCCCGTGGCAACTTTTAAGTGGCAAGTGTGATTTTGACATACGTATTTATATATTAAGTGTATTTAAAAAAGCACGTTTTTTACACGTAGTAGTGCCAACAATAACTGTTAAAGGGGAGCAGTCACAGAATGAATGACTCATGCCCAAACAGCGTGTTAAAGCAATGTTAATTATTACAGTTGTCCTCACTCTTGCACCCACACACTCATGAAAACTTCCATTCGCAGCCCTATCATATCAATTGCACGACGATAAGTCAAAGATAACTCAAAACCAGGGTTGACATAAAAACGAGAATGGCAAATATGCAATTACAATAAATTCGATGAATAAAATTAAATTAAAATATGCAAATTAAATAATTAATAACAATGGAAAATATATAAGAAACAAATATATTAAAAATTATAAAAAATAACAAATGAACGATAATATTAATTTAAAAAGATACTAAATGTTAAAACAAATTTCGTAATAAAATAAAATTAAAATATATACTAAAAAAAAAAAAATAAATAAATGATAATAACTAATAATAAAGAAATGATAATTAATAATATTTAATTACTTTGTTTTTCATTAAAAGACAAAAATGAATATTTTCAAAAAGAAAAGGGAGAAAATCGTTTTAATTTCAATTACAAATTATAATATTTGGCATGAGTAACACAAAATGAAAATATAGATACACTAATTGAGAATTGTTAGTAATAATGAAAATAACTGAAAAATATTTACAGAAACCGATCCGGCTGATAGCTGGGATGTGGAAGATGATGCGATTATAACACCCGAGGATGAAGAAGCTGAGGATGCTGAATTCACTGAGGGTGGCGAGGCAACGCCGAAAGTATCCAAAAAGAAGATCGTCAAGGTGGAGGAGAACAGAAGCAAGAGGGAGCACGTGAACGTTGTCTTCATCGGACATGTTGGTAAGAGAGGAGAGCAGAAGATGATATACAACGAAATAGATGTGGAAATAATTGCAATTCTATTGCAGATGCTGGCAAATCAACAATTGGCGGTCAGATTATGTCGCTCACCGGCATGGTGGACAAACGGACACTGGAGAAATATGAGCGAGAGGCACGCGAGAAATCTCGCGAGAGTTGGTATCTCTCCTGGGCGCTGGACACAAATCAAGAGGAGCGCGACAAGGGTAAAACTGTCGAAGTGGGCCGTGCCTTCTTCGAAACGGATCGCAAACATTTTACCATTCTGGATGCGCCTGGACACAAGAGTTTTGTGCCGAATATGATTGGTGGTGCGGCGCAAGCGGATCTCGCAGTGCTCGTCATCTCAGCCCGCAAGGGTGAATTCGAGACGGGCTTCGATCGTGGCGGACAGACGCGTGAACATGCCATGCTCGCAAAGACGGCGGGCGTCAAGCATTTGGTGGTGCTGGTGAATAAAATGGATGACTCGACAGTGAATTGGGATCAGACGCGTTACAACGAATGCAAAGACAAGATACTACCATACCTCAAGAAGCTGGGCTTCAATCCAGCCAAAGATCTTACCTTTATGCCTTGCTCGGGCCTCAGTGGCTATGGCCTTAAGGATCAAGTGCCCGAATCTCTGTGCACCTGGTACAGAGGACCGGCCTTTATACCCTTCATCGATGAGCTGCCCTCGCTGAATCGCAATCTCGATGGACCCTTCATCATGCCCATTGTGGACAAGTACAAGGACATGGGCACCGTTGTCATGGGCAAAGTCGAGTCGGGCATGGCACGCAAGGGACAAAATCTGCTCGTCATGCCAAATAGGGTAAGTTCTCGGAATAGCCATATATATATATAATTTATGCTCATTTTTTGTTTAATCTCTTGCAGACACAAGTGGCTGTGGATCAACTGTTCTCAGATGACTTCGAGGTGACCTCTGTGGGTCCCGGCGAGAATGTCAAGATCAAGCTGAAAGTAAGTGCTACGAAATTAGAATTAATTAACGCCCTTGCAGAGTTAGTTAATTAGTTAGTTAAATGGGACATCTATAAATTGTATATATTCTATTTCAGAATGAATATCAGAGTTTAGACCTCTCTTTCTGTCTATCTGTAAACTGTTTTTATGCTGAAAGTCTGTGTTTAAATTTAGGATTAATTGATGCCCCTGCAAAGTTAGTTAATTATTTGGTTATTTAGATAGTTAAGTAAGATATCTTTCGGTTTATAATTTTAAATACTCTTAGTAAGTATAAATATCACAATTTTGGCATGTCCACAGTTAGTTTGTTGGTAGAATTTGACATATTTCTGACTATAAACTCTATATATTCTTAGTCAGCATAAATAGCAGACAAATATCCATTCTGTGTGTCTGAACACTAAAACAAAGCTCTTTTGCACTCTCAATTGTTTATAATTCTTGGTCGAAATGGAAATCGGACACAATTTAGATGTATCCTACTGACTGTTTGTAAACAATCCTTCAGAGTTTATTAATTTTTCGGTGTATCGAATTGCAGTCTTCTTTTAATATTAATCTAATCTTATACATAATAATAATAATATTCATCTAATCCACACAGGGCATTGAGGAGGAGGATGTGTCGCCTGGTTTTGTGATCTGTGATGCCGCCAATCCGATTAAAACTGGCAAAATCTTTGATGCTCAGGTCGTTATATTAGAACACAAATCAATTATCTGTGCGGGCTACTCGGCCGTCATGCACATCCATTGCGCCGCCGAGGAAGTGACGGTCAAGGTGAGTCCTCTATCAAAAGTATAATATATATAATTTCCACTTTTAAAAACGTATGTCTTAAACTAACCAATTTAAAAAGAGACATTTGTTGTTGTTTTTTTTATCTATACTTATATATATATATATAATATTGATTAACCCATTTCCTTATCGTAATTCAGGCACTCATCTGTTTGGTTGACAAGAAGTCGGGTGACAAATCAAAAACACGTCCAAGATTCGTAAAACAGGATCAGGTGGCAATAATGCGCATCGAATGCTCGGGAATGATTTGCCTTGAACAATTTAAGCTATTCCCACAAATGGGACGCTTTACGCTGCGAGATGAAAGTGAGTTTTACTTATTACTACTTTATTTATTTACTAACGTTTGTATTTCCATTTTGCAGATAAAACCATTGCCATTGGCAAGGTACTCAAGGTGATCGAATAAATTGAGCCAAGCTAAATTTGAGCGCCTTTCACTTTTGGCTTTATGCAACCCAAAATTCAACGTATGATGCAGATGACGACAAGGAATATATATATATATATATAACTCTACATATATGATGAAAACAACGCCAATGCCAACGCCAACGCCACGCTTTCTATACACACACACACAACAAACACACACACACACGGCACACACTCCTACACACACGAAATACTTTCACCACAATTATGTATGCATATACCCAACAACAACAACAATAGCAATTGATTATGATAATGGTTAGAGAGAAGATTTATATAGCAAGTATCTGAAAAAAAGCAAAAAAAAAAGAAGTAAATGAGAGATCAACAGAGAGAGAGAGAGATAGCAACAGAAATGCATTATATCTAAATATAAAAACTATATTATGTTTAACTAAAAGAAGAAAGAAAAGGAGACATTGGAGTTATGTACTATTTATATATATGTACAGATATATAGAGAGACAGACACAGAAGAGAGAGATATTGTCGGGTAAAATCGATTCAAAAACAACATTTGGCTTTTTGCGGCACGAGCGAAGACATTTGTCGGTTTATTTACTTGTAACTCTTAAGGCATCATTAAATAGGGCGAGTCGTGAATTTTAAAAAAAGCAACAAAAGAACTAAAAGCTGCAAGCTTAACAATTTTTATATTTATACGAAAATACAAAAAAAAAAAAAGAAACAACACTCACAACACTCAAATCGGAATCAAAAATCAGAAGCGATAGTTGCCAATCCCTCACTCAGAAAGAAATAAAAATAATAATAATACTGATACTGATATAAATGATAATGATGATGATATGTATATGTTTTTGCTTTCTCAGCCTTTGAATTTTGTTATGCGCCGCCTTAATGGAAATTATGTTTATGTCTATAATATTATTACGGTATATATATATATATATAAATGATATACTTCTATTACTTTTCTTCAACGAAATGCTGTAAATTAAGTTTAAGCTCAAATTTTTGGAGTACACTTTTTGGGTTCGATTGATTTGTAAGCTCAAAATGATGAACACAACTGGTTAGCAACAACAACAACAAAAACAACAATGTGTATGAGAAACATAAATAATTAGCAATTTATTCATACATTTTTAATATCTTTTAACCAGTTTTTTTTATATTTTGTTTTACAATTTAGTTAATTGAAGAAGGCAATCAAAGCAAAATCGAAATAAAAAAATAATTGCTTTATTTGCTCGATTTCTGTGCAAAGCAAAAAAAAGCCAATCTTTTTTCTATTGTTTGTATTAAATTAGTCAGTCAAAAATCTTGAAATGCTTTTCCACACAATCAGGACCAAGATCAGGATAAAAGAGACGGTTTCAGCTCGCAAGAAAACACACTCAGACCACAATCCATACACACATTATTAAAAGAGCTCTCATCGAAGAAGAAGATCCAACTAGTTTCCAACTTTTTATGCTATGATATTTGAAATTAAATCGGCCCCTCTCAATATTATTACAAGATATGATTCATTTAAAAGTTGAACTGAAATGTTGTTACCATTTAAACAATAATTAAATAACGAACATAAACAAAATGAAAAGCACATAACTAAGTTAAACATTCGCCCATATTTAAGTTAATTCAATTAACTTGAAATATATATTTAACTGAATGATAACTAAAAGAGCAAGCATATTTAATAAAAAAGGAAAAGAAAACTGCTTTTTAACGCCGCTTTCCACGCATTCTCAGCTAAATAAAAAAACTTCAAAGAAAGGCGAACAAATGAAATAATGAAAATACAATTGTTAAAAATCTCTCCGACAGTTATATATGAATTGATGATATTTAAATGTTTCTCCAAACTCAAACTAACAAATTAAAAAAGAAAAGAAAAAACAAAAGTAATATAATAACGGAAGAAGAACTACGCAACTGATAAATAAATAATTATAATTGTATGAATATAGATACAAAACGAAATAATAGAAATTATATAGACAAAACGGGAATATTTATACAACATTAAATGTATTATTATTATACATGTATGTATACATATTAAAAAACAAAACAAAAGCAAAAAACAAACCGAAAAAAGAACCGTATAAATTTGAACATTTTTTATCAATAAAAAACGAAACGAAAAATAAAAAAGACGAAGAAAACGAACCAACTGCATAAATTATTTTTAAAAATCCATACATTGCAAAAGCCAACAATAGTTTGTTTAATGATTGCGTGAGTTTAATTTAATGATTTAAATTATGTTTTGATTATTTGTATGCCTGGCAAGCATGCAAAAGTTCAGCGATCGCAGCAAACTATCGATAAATTTGACTATATCGAAAGAAAGGAACAAAGTGAACCAGTTCCGCATATTTATCAGTTCAGTGAATCGAAATTCAAACGACTATTTGAAAAGGCAATTTAAAAAATCGATACGAAAAACGTATTTATTTTCATTATTGTTTTAACCGTAAATTAAAACATATAAATTCATCTTAATATTTCTTAACATTATTAACAAATCTTATATATGACATTTAAAACTCATGCTATGCCGTATTTCTGTATTTTTCCAGTTTGTACAAGTTTGGCTGAGTGCATTTTTGGGATTTTTGGACTTGGTTAATCATCCCCCTGCTCCGCTCGCCGGGCAAGCAGTGGAGTAATTGGCTGATCCCGTCTGTTGGGCTGCTCCTGCTGCCTGGTCTCATTCTCGCCATAGAGATCAATGCCACGACCATAATACCAAACCAGCAAATCAAAGATGACGCCAATGAAGGTGAAGCCTTTGAGAATTGATGAAGATTAGCAAATATTTAATAATTAGAAGCAAGACGATTACTTACCGCAGGCCAAAAAGTTCACAGAGTAACGGAATCTGGTCTGATCGTAGAGCTGACAATTCCCCGTCCCACTGCAGGTTTGAGTCCAAACCAAACATGTTGAGTCGATGATGCGTCCGAAGATAATCGGACCCGGTATCAGCGCAAACAAACTGATCATCATCAGGGCCAGACCCTGGGCAAAGGATTTATCCTCGTGCGCCACGGCGCGATAATTGACCAGCACATTGCCAATGCGACCCGACGACCCAAACCAATTCACAATCGTCGACGCTACCGAGAATGTCCAGAAGGCAGTGTCGCAACCCTCGGTACAGATGCCAGGACGCAGCACCAGGTCGGCAACAGCTCGTTTACTGCGCGTCAACAGATCCTCTGTGGAATAATCATCATTCAGCAGTGGAACTGAACTCAAATCCATATCGAGATCTGTGCTGCTGCCGGCCAGCGACATTTCCGTTGGCTGCTGCTGCTCCTCCAGCAACATCTGCTGAACAGCTGCTCCACCAAATGCGGGCACACTGTTAACACTCTCCTGCAGGCAGGCACAATTATCGTAGACTTTATTATCGCCATCCCAATTGCGGCAGCCTGCATGGCAGGCTGAGAAATAGGTCGTATCGCTGGGCAAATGACAGACGGGTGAGTAAGGGACGCCTTCGCAGGAACAGTTTGCATTGCAATTGCTGGTCAAATTAAAGCTGACGCAATAGAAAAAGTATATTTGTGAATTTTGCAAGTTTAAAATTTGGCGGCAATTGTGAGAAAGCAAATATGATGAGGTGGCAACGCTTGAGTAGCAGATGGAACAAACAGAAAAATGTGACTAGCTGGCAACGCTTAGCAGAGCTGAGCTTACAGTGAAGAAAATCAGAAAATGTGCAATAAACATTTTGTTACGTTCGCAATTGAATTAAAAGCTGAATTAAATGTGATAAGTGTATTCACTTACTTGCCGACATGAGCCATCGACACCGAATCCGGACAATATAGAAATGCGTACGAAATCTGACCTGTAAGTGACGTAAAAACCAATTAATAAAAGATCAACTATTTTCACATTGCATTGCAAACGCACCGCAAATGTAGACACAGCCAACGAAAACATTCCACATGAGAACTTTGCTGACCGCCGGCTTCTTCTTCGAGATGACAATGCCCGAGGCAAAGAGGCCGACGACCATGCCCAAAATGGAAACGGGACCCACAACAACCGTCGCCGAGTGGGCAGCCTTGTGGAACTGCACCTCCATGTACTTGGTGAGGAAGGTCATGAAGCCGGCGGCGCCCAAAATGTAAAAGACAGCCGAGGTGATATTGAAAATGAGCACCCTGTTGCGCAAGAGACGCATCAGGGCTCGTGGAAAATCCTTTAACTTGGGCAGATCAGCATTGGCACCAGCACCAATGGTGTCCAAGGCGGCATTCGACGAGAAGCGACTGCTGAGGGAGAGGCCCTCCTCCCGTCTCAACTCGTCGTGGCGCAACACATGCGGCACATGCGAGTTGCGCTTCTCTGCATCCGTTTTCTTGGGCAGCTGCTTGGGAAACAGGCCAATCAGGCCGGAGAACATGCACATCAGCGTGCCGAGGATGACCCAGCCCAGCCACCAGGCGCCCAACCAACGCGGATCCTTGTCATCGATCAGCGGCGTCTTTGTCGGGTCAATGAACGTGTTCAGCGAGATGTAACCTAAAGAGATACATTAATTTAAATACAACAGCAACTAAAGTAGACTATCTTTTCTAGCCTTACCAAAGAGGAAGCCAAAGACGGGACCAATCATTCGCAGGGACATGGCCACCGCCAGCATAAAAGGAGTATTTGTGCGCTTTGTATTGTCATCCAGATAGGTCTGGCCCAGCGCATAGTACAGCGTATTGCCCACGCCCAGCACAAACTGTGAGCAGAAGATGAGCACCAGCGGCACATAGGTGAACAGATTGTCGCAGTTATCCTCACCACGTCCAACGCCGCACAACCGTTCCGGCGTGCTGTGCGCCCGAGAGCTGGTATTCTACATATATATATATATATATATTAATATGTGTATCAATAGTAATATAATCTCATAATCTTACCACAGATGTAACATCGACCGCGAGTGAGGTGTTCAGCAGACCATCCTGATACTCCTTGGTCAGCTGGAGCACTTCATCGCCCGCTCCATAGATGAAATGGGGCAGGACGAGTATATAGCAGGATATGCCGCAGAGCACAATACCCCAGGCGATCCAGCGCGGACGATTGCGCTGTCCACCGATATAGGATAAGATCAGCGATAGCATTATCTGTGATATCTCATTGCCACTGAGTACAATGCCTGCCAGAAAAAGAATTTTGGATTGAGCTTTGAGAGATGCACAAGTATTGGGTGAAAGTGAATTGTGAAATGAGAGAGAAATGTTAGCGGATTGAGAAACAGTAAGTTCCTTTTCATATATCTGATATTCGTTGACCAAATTTGGCCTAAATTGTGATTCTCAATTGATCAATTTGAGCGATAGTAATACCTTGGAACAAACTTCACATAGATGGAAAATCTTCTCACTGAAAGTTGGACATGAACTATGCGAAATTTATACATTTATAGAATGTGATTCTTGCTAAAGTCTAAAGTAAATTGAAATTTGATGAATGAAGGAATGGAATATTATCACATGGACTGATATCCCATCAATCAAACCCAACCGCGACACTCACCTGTCGTCTGACTGGGTATTTTAAAGCGTTTCTCCAGCGTGGTTAGGGTGACAATGAAATACATGTAGGACATGGCCTGAATGGTGCCCAACAAACCGTAAACGCCCATAAAGTATTTGGTTGTGGCATATTTCTGCAGCCAGGCTGGATGCCAATTGGCCATGCCGCACAGAAAGTGACCAGGTGGCGGCTTCTTCCCCGACATGATCTGGGTTATCTCTGATTCCGATTGCGATTTGGATTTGGATTTTGATTCCTATTGTTGTTGGTTCTCCTGCTCAACACTTGAGCATGTCTCGCGCTGTTTCGCGGGCAAACTGATAAGATATATGATATATATATATGTTTATTTATATTAATGACACACAGAAATCAAAAGATATTTGTAAGCACCTGTAAATTACAATGCGCATATATCGTCTAATTACACTATGTTGCCTGATATTTGTTTTTTAACCTTGATTCCTCTTTTTTATGTTATTGCTATGCTCGAAAACTGAACGCTTAAGCATGACTGGTTCTATTAGTAAAAGGTATATGTGTATATCTTTATATAAGAGCTCGTATAAAACATTATTGAAATGGCACGTTATTGGAATTTTGTGTAATTGATTGGTTGATTAGGCTGGGCACCCGTTCCCGTTCAAGATCATATTAGCACCAAGATTAGATAAGCGACGAATTCTTAATTTTTTAATGGTGCCATAAATCGATCTGCGAATTGGCCTAAACTAGTCTAAGCATAATTGCCAACTAATGCTGAGCGAAGGATTTTATTTATTACTGAAAATTCAAATTCGTAAAAACAATTCACATTAAACCAATAAATTGGTCATGGTTAGTCTTTATGGAGATATATATATAGAGTCTGGTCTTTTAAAAGTGCTATCTTATCAGAAATTGAACGGAGGCTTTTCTATAATCACAGTTGGGCAGTTGGTGTCCAGTAGAAAAAGCAACTAGCAAATACCCTGTATTAAATATATCAAATTAGAGCTATTCTATTTGCTTTCTAATCATTTAATAATCATTTTCCATTTGCTTATTAAACTAATAAACTAAATGCTGATAATAGGAAGTGACTCGCTATCTTTTTGTCTATTTCTTCCTCAAAATATACCCCTTGAAATTATGTGGAGTGCTTGGAATAAAATTTCCTGGTATTGATTAACTTGAGGGTTTTGAGCAATAAACTTTCAGCAAAAACAAAACACGACAAGAAATTGCCGACTGAATAATGTATTTTGAGGTTGTTCTAGGCCTTAATCATTATATATAAGTTATATGGCTAATCTTAAAACAAAATTGAACCATTAAAATACAACTTCGACATAGTTAAAACTGAGTTACTAAGCAGTTGCTTAACTGATAAAAATGATCAATAATTAGGGTCTATTTTAATTAGCTATCTGAACTTAAAATTAAAACCAAATTAAGTAATTCCTTTGAAGTCATCAATTCGACAATTTCAATGTTTATTATTATTTTTAAGTGATTGTTTAGCTATGCAAAAGAGCCCCTTTAGTGAACATCATCTGTGACACACATAAATAGACACAAACTGCTTCGATAAATGCAGCTAAGCCCAGCACAGATAATGTCTATATAGTATATATCAGATAATACCAGTCGATCAGACAACGAACGAAGACTTGGACAAGTTGTCGAGGCTATCGGTCAATGTTTGCCTTAGCAGAACAAAAGAAACAATATCTTTTGACTTGGGCATATTTTTCTAGTTCTTTTTCTTTAACTATATTATTTATGAGGTCTTTTTTTTTCAATATTATTTACATTTGTTGAGAGTTGGCTGGAAAATGTTGATTTAATTTGGCGACACTTGAAAGCACTTTTAATTGATGATTAAATTGGTTGCAGTTCCTTGAAAGCGACCGTCAAAATCAAGGCGAGGAACAGGATTCGATAGAGATAGAGAGCGCGCGCGAGAGAGAGAGAGAGCGGAATGTGAACCGTGCAGCGGCGAGGCGCGTAACAAACTGAAAGCGTCTAGCAAAAATTTCAAATAAATTCGTTGACTTCGCCAGTTCGCCGTCGTAAAATTTTGGCGATAATTGTGCTCTGATAATGCGGATAATATTATCAGTTATCAGCTGATATATATGTATATATATATATATAGTGGAGTAGGCGTTACAAATATTACGCATACGCCTCGTTCTGCGCACGTGCAAACTGACTTCGCTTCACCTGTTTCTTTCTCTCTGCGCTGATTTACTCGCAACAACAACAACAACCACAATAACAATAATAGTAACAATAACAATACAATAATAAACAATAACAAAACACGACAATGACACTATTTACTATTAATACACACACATCCACACACACCCCCTGAAACCACTCCGCTGCTCAATCAAATATGCAACCCCTAAACAAGCCTCATCTCTTTCCATCTCTATCTCCCTCTCTCTCCCTCTCTCTCCCTCTCTCTCTCTCTCTCCCTCTCTCTCTCTCTCTCTTTGGCTTTGTGATTAGATTCGTAAGTGAATTAGTGGCGTGTAGAATGTGGCGTGTAGAATGCTGAATGTGTCGAGTGTAGACTGTGCAACGGTCAAGCGTGGTGTGCCACAAGAGTTTAGTCTCAAGAGTCTCAAGTCTCGGCGGTTTCTTTGACATGCGGCTCGGGATCATTGGCGCCACTCATCCGCTTGTTGCGCCCCATGCTGAGGAACATGGTCAGGCCCATGCCCAGCAGGGACAACAAAATGACCACAATGAAGATGGACTGTATCAGACCCGTCGTCAGATATCCCTCGCACAACCAACACGGCTTCGGTATATAGTCATAGTCCAGGGCAGAAAAATCACCTAAGCATAACAAAATCAATGAGAAATAAACATAAGTAAGTTGAATGGGTGTACAATGTTTTAGATGCTTACCTTCTATAATGATATCCATGCTGAAGGAGAACAAGGTGAGGCGGTGGCCCTCCTTCGAGTAGGCGGTGAGTGCCTGGCAGCAGAAGCTGAACTTGTTGCTGTAGAAGATGATGTCCCTAGGGATGAGTGTGATATTCTTGAACTTCATGCTCGTCATGTGCCAGTTGCCCATCGCCGGGAGAAATCTCAGCCTGAGGCTGCCCATGCTGGTTACGATGATGAGCGTGACGCCCTTCATGATACTCGAGCGATGCTCCAGCTCCAGTCGCAGCGAGGAGTGCTTCTCGTTCAGGTCGATTTGCTGGCGTTTGTAGTGCACTTGCTGAGCACTCAAATACTGCTCGGCCAGGACGATTCTGTTGACGCCAATGATGGCCTTCAGGTGCCGCAGCACAGTCACCTCGTTGGGATCAATTTTCGTCCGATTCTGCAACAATTTGTTGCGCTTCGCCTTTTTCCAGCTCGGCTGTTGCTTCTCCCAGATGATGATCGAATTGGTGCGTTGAAGTCGACGCTGCAACGCCTCCATTTGCTCGCCGTGTGCCGTGTAGATCATGATCAGAGGACAGCCCCATAAATTCCCCGCAACGGCGGCCATAATCTGATCTGTGAGGCAAAGTTGCAGTTACCATATGTGTTGCAAGTGGAATCGCGCTGAATTTTAGAAATTCTCATTATTATTCATATTAATCATTTCTAAGATTAAGATTCTTTTCTTAATTTCAGCTTAGATTTTTTTAAGGAATTTGGGGTTACATTTCTGCTTCTTAGAAATTCACTTCTTAATAATAAATGACAAAATTCTTGGCAATTGTTTCTCTGAGTGTATGAAATTCGATTACAATTCGATGATAATGATAATTGCACTCACCGTGGGCCGTCAGATTGTTATCCCTGAAATTGTAGGCGTGAATGCGATCCGTTTGGCACTTGAGTTGGCTCATCTCGAATGTGGTGCTCCACTTGAGTTTCTGGCCACGATTCGTGAATAGTTGCTCGATGGACTCGACTGGCTGCTGCACCTGGCTGTAATAGGTGAGTGGCGCCACTTGACGCAGATACTCGAAGCATTTGTCATTCTCCCCGCAGCTGAGATCCTTCGAAGTGAGCATTGGGGCGAGGAATGCGACTATCATGTGATCCTCCTGCTGTGGCATCAGCATGCGAACGAATTTGCGCGAGGGAAGTGCTTGAAAAATGTTCCCAGGACCAGGTCTGCAACAAGTTGCGGATGACAGAGCAGAAATAGATACAACAGCATTGCTAGACTTACAATTTTACGCCCCAAATGACGGCGGGCGGCGTGGATGGCAAATGAATTGCGGCAATGCCATTTATCAAGAGCAAAAGTTGAACAGCAGCCATTTTGATAAAAGAAAGGAACTGTTTTTCTATACTTTACTCTATTACTATTTGCAAAAGCCTGCTTTATTTGTATTTTAATACACAATTCGTAGTGTTGCCTTGTGTTGTTCAACTTTTTGAATGAAGCTCAGCATCAGTTCGAGTTGCTGGCAACATTAGTTGCACAGCTTGTTTACATGTTGCTGCATTTTTCGTTAGCAACATCAGCTCATTTTGCTGTGATAGCATGTTGCTGCACTCAGTTCGAATGTTGCTTGGTGCGTAGGTGAGCAACAATGTTGCATTGCCGAATCACATTGACATGTTGCTGCATTTGCCGGCACCAACATCAGATCAAGTTTAACTACACATGTTGCTGCGATCAGTTCGAATGTTGCTTCACTTATGTGTTGCTTGGTGCGTAAGTGCGCAACTTTGTTGCAATGCAGCGAATTGAGAAATGTGGAAAATAATAAAATCGACGATAAGATAAAACAGAAAGCTTATCAACGGCAACTGGAAATGTGGAAAGACTCTCTTGCACCTGCCACGCTCAGTCGATAATTGGCACTTGCTTCGAATTGACGCGCGAATAAAAAATGTTAGCGAATTAAGTAAAAACAGTTGAGTGAAAACTAAGCTAAACTAAACGAAATAACGGAATAAACGAATACAGAGAAAACAAAAAAAAAATGGCGCAGGCTATACGCAATTCGGATTTATCGCAAATAGCGGTAAATGCGCACAATATACCCGACGGTGGGCATTATTTCTAATGAAAACCTATTCAAAGTTAAAGTCTGATTTATTTATATATATATTTATCTGTGTGTGTGTGTTTGTGTGTGTTTCTATGCAGACAGCGTCGATTGCGGCATCATCGGACTGGGCTGGTGTCGGGGCCCCGCCTGCCAGAAATACGCCCGGCTGCGCACCTTCATCGTTGTCCTGTTGACCGCTGGCCTGCTGCAAGGCGCCTGCGAATCCTATTTCCGGGTCTCGGCCAAGCAGGCTGCCTACCAATACGACTACCCGCCGCTGCTCGTCGGTGAGTAATCATTAATAACTAATCCCTATCGCAAAAAAAAACAAATAATGGAAGTGGTAGAAGAGGCAGAGCTGCAGGGGAAGGGCAACGAAGGGCGGGCGGGGAAGTGGCTGGAATTGGGGCTGAGGTTTTTCAGATAGAGCACAAAACGCTTTATCAGTTTTGCGATATTGTTTATGATTTCGAGTATCTTCAGCACTTTGTGTGTGTCATCACAGCAGTATACATATATATATATATACATGTACTATAAACTATATACTATATATATATATATACATGTATATATAGTCGATTACTCGATGTGTAATCGTAATCACAACAATTGGACAAATTCTTCCACAGTTGGCCTTTTTTACTCATTTCGATTTACACTTTGCGGCTTCTTCGAATCGTCATAGCTGCCATAATTCTTATGTAAGTCACACATATATTTATAGATATTATGCGTATCTTAATAGTATTTCCTTTTGGATCAGATATGCAATCACATAAATATATTGATTGTATCTTAATATGATTTCCCTTTAAATCAGGAGTGCCATTTTATGGATTGATAATGCTTTCTATTAAAAGAAGTGCAGGATTCATTGATAGTTTAGTATTGTTGCAAGCTTTGGGTAATGGTTTCTTAACTAGTAGACACCCCATACACAGCTCTTAAATACAAATAGGCTTTATAAAACATTCATATAAAAGGCATATTGATATTAGTTAATTAACTAAGTCTGTGTTTCGTGATACAATTTTACAGCTTCTCATAAATAATAATAATTATAAAATAATACAAATAATATGTACGGGTTTATTATATATCCATTCAAAGACTATTCCTTTATAATTGGGGCTTTTATAGCTATCGTTAATCGATTTGTATCGATCAAATTCAATAAATCTTATATAGTCTCTGAGTCTCTGAGATTGCTTTGTTTATACAGGTGGACAGGCAGACATGTCTAAATCGATTCGACTTTTAATGTTGATCAAGAATATATATATAACTCCTGCCTGTTGCATACTATTCCTCAACTGCAACATATACATTACATTATATTTATATCAAATAAACAATTATAATAAACCATATCAAAGAGCAGGCACAAAACAGACTCCTTTTCCGCCAGCTGCAGTTGTTACTATTAAGTTTCCCAATCAGCTGAAATCCGAACTTAAACTTTAGTTATTGATATTCATTGCTGCATATTGCTGACAAACACATATTAAATTCTTCAATTGCCATCCAAGATTGGCTGCTGGTCAGCAGTGGATTATTTCAGGCTGTGTTCGCCTTGGCCTTTGCCTACTGGGCTGACTTTCATCATCCGATCAAATGGCTCGCTGGGACGCTGATGCTGCAATCGCTGGCCTGTGTAATAACCGTGATACCAGCCATCATCAACTTGTGAGTAGCTCTCTGCCATCTGAATGCTCCTCTGTGGACACCCACTAATCTGTCGCTCTACTCTTTGCAGCTCTGATGGCACCAAGTCGCAGGATGCGTTGATTGACTCCAATCTGTGTGCCACATCCTTGGCACAGTTTCAGAGGCTGACGATGACGCAGGCGCAGAGCAGCACAACGACGCTGGTAATGCTGTTCTTGCTCCAGCTGTGCCTGGGCATGGGTGCACTTGCCTACTACACAGTCGGACTCACCTACATCGATGACAACTCCCTGTCCCGGGACAGTCCGGCTGTGATTGCCGTCATCCTCGGTGCGCGAGCCATTGGACAGCAAGCGGGTTCGTTTCTCGTCCTCTTGGCGGGCATGACCCACTTGGGCTGGTGGCTTGGCTGGGTCATCCTGGCGCCCCTCATCCTTGTGAGTGCCATCTTGCTGGGGCTGTTCCCCAAGCGGCTGCCCAAGACAGTGATCCATCAGGCGGCGCAGCGCATCATCGAGCAGACGAATATGCGTGGCTTTGGCAGTCAGCTGTCCGCCTACATGGATGACACCGATTTCTGGCCATCGCTGAAGCGCCTCTTCAACAACAGACTGCTGATGTTCAATCTGCTGAGCATCATGCTGCTGCAGAGTGGGCTGCTGAACTATGCCGCGCAGGAGGAGAACTACTTGCAGAGTCGCTTCTTTCTGCCCTTCAACGAACAGGATGGGCTGACGCAGGAGTGGCGCACCGCCTTCGTTGCCTACTTCCTGCGTCCACCTGTGCTAGCTGTGGGCATGCTTGTCGGCGGCTTGCTCTACTCGAAGGCACAGCTCTCGGCGAGGACCATAACTGGGATTAACATTAGTCTGGCCATCCACTTGATTATCGTCTTTGTGGGCTATGTGTTTCTCGTCTGCGATGTGGGCGCCATTGCAGGCGTTGTGGGTGGCAAGCTGACGCAGCCGTATTGCGCCAGTCAATGCCTCTGCAACCCCACAGCCTTCATGCCCGTCTGTCCGGAGAATAGCACGGTTACCTATTTCTCTCCCTGCTACGCGGGCTGCACCCAACTCTCGAGCATCAACAGCTTTGAGCTCTACGACGGCTGCAGTTGCCTCGGCAATCAGAGCCTAAATCACGCGGGCACAACTCGTGCCACGCCCGGCGCCTGCAGCGCGGATAGCTGTGCGCGCAGCATAATCATCTTCCAGGTGCTCAGCATAACGGCGGCGTTTATGGTGGGCATGTCCACCATTGGCAAGACTCTGATCACTTTGAGAGCTGTCCTGCCCCAGGATAAAGCGCTCGCCTTGGCCTTTGAACTGATGATTGTGGGATTGTTTGCCTATGTGCCAGTTCATCTCAGCTACGATCTCGTCACACGTGAGTGCTTTTACTACATATAATATATCAACTTTATCATTATCCTTTCTATCGCAGGCACCACCTGTGTCTATTGGGCGCCCAACTACGACCGCTGTTTGCTGCGCGAGACGCCCAAGCATGGCAACATTCTGGACATCCTGACAGCCTCGCTGATCCTGGCCAGTCTGCTCTTCGACATCCTGGTCTATATCTTTGCCAAGGGCCTGAATCTATACAATTGCAAGGTGACGGATAATAACTATACGCCTTCGCTGTATGCGCCAGTGCCACATGAGGATTCCCCCGTTTCGGATGTGGCTCGTGGTGGGAGTCCCTCAATGAATACGACGACAACGGCTGCTTCCAGTTCGCCCATGCAACGACGCGATGCGCCACAGCAGGCAGCAGCAATACCTACAAAAGTCGAGCCACGTGTGGAGGCCGCTGTCTTTCGGCATCCCAGTTCGCTGACCGAATCCTCGGGCTCGCCGAGCATTGTGGCGCCCAACGAGAGTGGAGTGACCTACGCCCAAGTCGTGTTCCCGCCGGATAAGCGTAAGCCCAACGATGGCAGCACCAGTCCCAAGCGACTGGCAGTGCCTGCCAATGTGCCACTGCATCATCTCTCCGAGACAGACGTGCGCGCCCAGCTGGGCACCCTTAAGTCATTCAATGCCGCGCCGCCCATCGGCGAGGATGTGGCGGGCAATGCCGACATGCATCCTACGGAAGTGGCCAGACCCCAAAGTCCCGAAACGGACTTTTAAATAAGTTTCCTTTTCTTTCCCACATCGATTTTGCTGGTCGCTTTGTTTTTTATGTATATGATTAGCACTTCCATTTGATTATTTATAGCATTAATATTTTATACAGCATCTACTTTTATAAATTGTTATTATTTATACGATAGTTACATTTTAAATAATAATAATAATATAATATAAAATACATTTAAATATTATGCGAGGGTAATTAAGCATTAAATGAAACACAATATTTGTTGCATACTTTTGCGCGCTTCAATTAAACTTCAAACAAATTTGTGAAAAATTGTTGCCTACTTCGCGGCTGAGCTGCAACGCTCAAAAATTCTGTTATGGTAAGTCCTTTTGCTTTAAGGAATTTCTTACCATATGTGGTCCAAAGGACTCATAGTCCTTAAGATAGCAAATTTTTAGATTTTTCGCAATTTCTACCCTTGTGAAAACTTTTGGCGAAATTCTTTTCGAAATTAGGAAATCCTTGAATCCAAATCGAGTCCTTTTTTATGTGATCTGAAATATGTATATCCTTTCAATATCCTATAGAAGTTGGCCAAGTATAATAAAAAAGACAAGCATCTGAATTTTGTTTGTATTTTTTTGTTTTGTTTTTTTTATTATAATTGTATTTCCTTTAGTTTTATTTAAATATAGTTGGTATTTGCATTTGATTTACTTGTTTTAATGTTTTGTTGTTGTTGTTGTTTTTATTCACTTACAAACTAATTAATAAATTAATAGTTAGGCTTAGAAATGAGGACTTAAGCGCGTAAAAATCATCAATCATGGGGAGCAATAAAATAAAATAAAATAATAATCAAATAAAAAACATAAAAAGCAAACGCATTTGACAAAATGTCCTTAAATTAAAAATAAAATAAAAACAAAGGAAAAAAAAAATACTTTAAACAATTACTTTTAGTTTTGGATGGCTCTGCGATGATCAGGAAACTGATGAATCAGTTGTATCTATTAATATATGTATATATATATATATAGCCACGTAGACTCGACAGTAGTTTTGTGCTTCAGTTAGGAGTATATATATCATATATATATATTTATATTAATTAATTTGTGTATAGCATTTATTAATTTATTTTCTTTTTTCTTTTGTTTTTTTTTGCTATTTTCGAGCCGACCTTAGACAAGTTGAGTCTCCGCAGGTGGCGCCAGTGTTGCACAGTATCAAAACTAGTGTTGTCTACGTGGCAATACACATACAAACACATATATTCTATGCAGTGTTGGTCAACGCGTTTCTACTCCAGTATTTTTTCATTTGAATTTCTTCATTTTGTTTGCAGTTATTTTTTCAGCTCTTTTTTTCTGTTTCTTGTTTATGTGGCAAATAGAGTGTGGCTAGATGTGTGTGAGTGTGTGTGTGTGTGTATAGGTGTGACAGTGTGTGTGTGTGTGTGTAGGTGTGACAGTGTGTGTGTGTTTGTGTTTAACAGAAATCTTACAACAGATTTGTTTTTCTTGCGTTTTATACAAAAATTCGAAATTAATATTAAACATATTAAACTAAATATTTTTGCATAACAATTAAAAAATAGGACGACTCTTTTTTGCTTAATTTTAGTGCACACTTTCATCAATTTTCTTTTTCATCTTCTGTTTTGAGGGGGTGTGGAAGGAGGAGTAGGAGGAGGGGAGAGGGTTGTTCACTTTTCAAGTGTTTAAATTTGTTATTTCTCCCAGTTTTCAAAGTTGCACACACATATTATTAATTTTTTTTTTTTATATATATTTACAATCATTAGTTTTTTTCTTTTTTGTATGATAATTTGTTGTTTTGGAAAATGAAAAAATTCCAAATATTTGTTATATATATATATATATATATATAATGTATATTGCTACAACATTTTCTACGTGTGTGTGTGTGTGTGTGTGTGTTTACTTTTGGATTGATTGAATAAATTGAGAAACATGCACATTATTTAATTTGATTTTTGTTTTTTTCTTTTGTTTTTTAGTTAATAATTTGCTTCATTTCTTTTAAATAAATTAAAATAATAAAATTAGCAGCTTGCTTTTTATGTTTATGTTTAAGTTTTATATCAATAATCAGTGTTTTTTTTGTTAGAATTATTTTTGAATAAAATGTGTATTGATCTCTTCTTCTTCGTCTTCCTCTTCTTTCTCTCGCTGCTGCTCAAGTTTTATTTTTTAGCGCTTGCTTTTTACAATTTACAATGCACAATGCAAATTATCACATATTTTGTTTTTTTTTCTTCTCTCTTTCCTTTCTCTCCTTTATTTTTCTTCTCTCTTTTTCGCATGCTCAAATTCTACTTTTTACAATATTTAAGTATTTTTTGAGGCAAACTTTTAGGTTTCTTTTTATATTTGCATTTTTATATATTTGATTTGAATAATAACATAAAACAAATTCAAACAAAATAAAATAAGAGCGTTTTTTTTTTTGACAATTCAAAATTAAACTGAACCTGAATGTTAAATTTGGCGCAGCAGCGCTCTATTAAAAGAAAACTCTCTGCTCGTTAACAGCTACTGCCGGCTGCAGCGAGTTACTGTTACACGCAATCCAACTAACTGTGGGTGCAAATGTGTTTGTATGTGTATGTGTGTATATGTGTGTGAAGGTATGTGTGGTGTTAAACAAATATCACAATCGAGAAATTAACAAAATGGCGGCTGCAGCTAATAACAGTCGCACAGCAGCTAACATAGCGCAACCTTAACAGAGCAAAGCTGAGCACAGCACAACTCATTCTCTGTCTTCCCCACACACATTTGTAATACTTTTTTGCTTGCTTGGTTATGTTAATGTTAAGGTTGCTGCGCTGTTTGCTGCTTCTGTTGCTGTTTCTGCTGCTGCTCTGCTACTGTTAGCTGCACTCTGCTAACTCTGCTTTTGGCTCTGTCTGTTAAATATCTGCTGTTGCAGCTGCAACAAACAAAATTACGACATTCCAATCCAACCCCGATTTAAAAGGGCTCACATTTTTTTGTAAAATTACAATTAAAACAAACTAACAAATACTAACAGACACACAGCTTAGGACATTGGCCCATTTGTGCTGACGGCTGCGACGGCTGCTGCTGGCTGCGCTGCTGCTTCGATTGCAGAAGCTGCCGCTGTTGCTGTAACTGTTGCGTCGACGCCGGTGCCGTTGTTGTCAGTGCCATTCTCTGTTGGCGCTGACGCCGACGACGCTGGACTGGTAACGGCCACTGTTGACGCTGGCGCCGCTTGTATAGCTGGCGTTGCTGGCGGCGCTGCAACCGCAGCTGGCTGCTGGCTGCCTGTGATCTGTAGCTGCATCTGCAACTGTTGCAGCGTCTCTGGGGCAATGTTAGATTTGAGTATGTTATTCTCCAGCTCCAGATTGGAGATCTTGTCCATCAGCTCGGAGATGCGCTCCTTGAGCACTTCCACCTCCTCGCGCACCGCTATCATCAGATGCGATTTCACCAGATCCTGTAAGTGCAAAAAAAAAAAAAATTTATTAGTTAAAATGAGTTATTAAATTTTTAAAATTATAAATTAAAATGCTTAAAATGTTCGCAGCGATTATCGCTTATGTAAGCTAACAACGAAATGTTGATTAGCAGTGACGTTGATGCTCTCTTTTCGCTGCTCTTATTTAACAGCTCTGCAATATGGCATGCTACTTAAAATGTTAACATATCTGACCGAACACGTTGTGCGAACAGCGACATGTTGGTTAACAGCGTTGCTGCTGCTACCTGCTCTGCAGCTGCTTAAAGAGTTAAAACCTACACGCAGATCGCTTATGTAAAGATAATAGCTAGCACTGTTGCTCTCTTCTCTGTAGTTGTTAACGTAACAGCGCATTAACTGGCTCGCTCACTGCTGTTCAAATAAAAAACACTCAATTTGTCGATGTTAGCTAATAGTCTATTAATTTCAGTTGAAAAAAGAAAATATGACTTGAACTTAGTTAAGGCCACGCACTAAAATTCATGCCAACAATGTCGCGTGTTTCGAGTAAAAGTACTAAATAATTATTGCAGAGAATTCTAACCAGCTTTACCTTTGTTTTTTCCCAATGTCAATGCCAACAGCAGCAACAACAACAAGAAAAACTCGCCACGCGTGTCTGCTGCAAATGCTCGTTAAATTTTAACATGCCCATTAAAAGATGTGGGAGGGCAGAAAAAAAAACAACTTAATGTGAAACGTCACCGTTACGTGATTGCCATCTCGCTCGCACATTGCATGTTACACGTGCGCGGCCAGCAGCAATAACATAGACATGTAATTATATATATATATGTAAGCAGGTGAGTGGCGCTTTCCTCTGCTTCTTTTTCTTCTCATCTCTTGTCCTCTCTCTTTTGGCGACACTTTCTGCTGCGCTGCTTGCTGCATTTAGTTCCGTTTTCATCGAGATTACGTTACTTTTTTCTCTCTCTCTTTCTAAAAAGCCGTTGGCCTAATTTTCACCAAAAATGTTGCCCATAAAAAGACTCGAAATTATTCTCGATTAGACAGCAATATAAATATAATATATTTAAACACAAATTATGAGAATATGTAGCAACACGCGCGCGATTTGCGTGCGTTTTCTATTAGTCATTCTCATGTGATTTATGACTAAATCAGATGCGTGGGGGAGGGGGCAAGGCTTTTGCTGTCGTCTCGCATTTATTGCACTAATTTTCGCTTGTTGTTGTTCTGCTTCCTCTGATTATAATTGGCCAACTGCCAAAGAATTATCAAAAAGCAACAAAAAATCGCGTTTTTCTATCTTTGAAATATTTTAAAAAGTTCCGTTCAATTCATGACAATTTAATGAATTGAAAATAGTACGCAGACACATATATATATAAAATATACTTATATATATGAGTAAAATATATTTTGTTTTGACAAATGTGCACTAATTCAATAACTCAATTATAAATGGGAAGTCCGCAGAAAGTCAGAGCATTTAAAAATTACAGGTGATAAGTAGATAAAAATAAAACTGTTAATTGAAAATCTAGTTTTTAACCACAATTAAAAATATTAATATGTATGCAAATATAGACTACATAATTTAGGCGTGAAATTATCTAATTCAGTATATTGATTTTTAAAAATATTTTTTTTAAAACATTTTCATTTATTTATATATTTTTAGTCCCGCTTTTTGTGTGCATTTCCTGTTTAAAATTGTCTACATTTTTTCATGGCCTCTTCTAAGAAAAAGAAATAAATGCACACCACACACAACATATCCATAACACACACACAGAGGCAAGTGCGTTGAATTTGAAGTTGGGTTCGTTTTCGGGTTCAACACGCGTGTCTTTTGTCTGCTTCTTCCTTTTACTCTTCTGCTGTTGTTCTTGTTTGCCTTTCGTTCGTTTATTTTTTGGCTGCACTTTGCTTAACGAAAGAAACACAAATATGGCGACCATAAGAGACAAGCGACTAGAAGGCGTCTTCCCCTCTCCGCTCTTCCTTATTCTAATTCAGCACTTTTCCATGTTCTCCTCTTTGTTGTCTGTCTTTTTTACCTTTTCATTTTTTGACAAAAGAATTTAACTCATAATATAGGCATGAAAAATGAATACAAAAAAATCATACAATTTGGCAGTCTAAAGAGAGATACAGAAGTATATATATATTTATTATATATGTATATATATATATATGGATATTTTCCTCGACTTTGGCTGTTTGCCTTGACGACAAGAAAAAAAAAATGCGCGCAGCCTCAAAAATAAAAAAAAAGTAGCAAAAATCAATAGCAGAAAATCAACTGCAGCAAGGTGAATTTTTCTCAATTGCACAAATAGTTCAAGCCTCTATATATATATATATATATATATATCAATTTTTTTTGTATACGTACTTTGGCATTGGGGACCATTACATAGCAGGGGCTGTCGTAGCCCTTCTGCCAAATTTCGTATAGCCAATTTTCTGGCTGACGCAGCGACATTGTGCCCATCATTTTTCACTGGTGTTTGTTTTTTATATTTGGTATTTAAATGAGTTTTTCTTTTTCTCTTCCACTTTTCAGTGTTTTCACGCACTTATATAATTCTTAAAAATTTATTCCAATTTTATTATATATCACAGTTAAAACAGTGCACAAAAAAAATCTCTAATATTTTTCTTGCTTTGTACTGATATATTTTTTTTTGCGTGTGTAATTTTTAAGTTTTTTGCGCTTCTTTATTTTCCTTGGGTTGTTTTTACGACAAAAGTTCAGCAATAACTGAGTGCGCTGTGTAGCTTTTGGTAATTTATGAGACCGGCGCAGAGCTTTTGCATTTGCATTCAGAGTCGACACACACAAAAAAGCTTATTTTTCTCTCTGTTGCTTTTAGTTGTTTTTTTCTTTTATGGTTGGTTTTGTTGCTGAAATAATGTAATTCAACAAATAATAAGTCTCTTGTTGGCTGGCCGCTTGCGCACAAATTACAATTAAAAACTTGTATATACTAGATTTAATAATAATTTCTAAATTTTTTTTTATTATTTGTGTTTTTAACGTTGTTCTTTTGTGTGTGGCGTGTTGCGAGTTGAACTGGCGACTGAACGTCTGCTTGCAATTAGTACCCGTTTTATATCAAATTGCAGGCAGCAAGCCGAAAGAGAACGAGAGAGAGAGAGAGAGAGAACAACAGCGAGAGAGCATAGGCAGAGTGTGTGTGCATGCCGTGAGAGCGTGTAAGAGAGCGAGCGAGCGTGCTGTGTATCTGGCAGATAATTTTCGGTAGTGCGCGCCATGTTGCGACAGCTGTATGCGTGTGCCTGCGTGTGTGTGTGTATTATAGATGACGGGTGTGTATCTCACTCAATCTTTAAGCATTTTCAAATCAAAAAAATATATACATATGTATATAAAAAGCTGTCTCTGATGCTGCTCTCTGTTTGTTTTGACGCGCTGCTCTACGCCTCAATAATTTACACATTTTTTCTCAACTTATTTACAAGCAAAATAAAAAAAAAGCTCAAATATTCATAAGCCAGCGCCCCAATATTGGTAAGAAAGATTTAAGCAAAGGCAAAGCAAAACAGCCGGCGTGTTTTTCATACGTATTTAAATATTTAGATACACACTCACACAAATACTCATATATTTATATATACGCATACCTATAAAGTATTTGCCATTCGCTTTCGGCATGACAAATTTGCTGCTGGCTACTTTTTTATTTGTTTTTTTATGCCTGTTTCTTTGGCACTTTTTTTGCGACGCAAAAACTTTACGACACTTTTTTTGTGTGTGGTGTTTATCAAAGAGTAAAAAAAAATACAGACAGACAGACGGAATGCTTGGCGTTCTTATACATATTTGATACGTTTTGCGAGCAAACATGCCATGTTTTTTTTTCTGCTGTTAATTGTGCTTTTTTGGTGGTGGCTCTTTTTCACCTTTTGCGCATTGCGTTTTATGCTGCTATGCGAATAGAAGAAGTATAAGAGAAGAAACAGATGAAGAAGAAGACTTTCTTCAATTGAAATGCCATTTTTATATAATCGAGAGTCAATTTATTTCCGCTTTTTACGAAACGAAAAATGAAAAAGTAAAGAAAACGAAAGAAAAGCAAATAAAGACAAGCCCACAAATATTTCAAGGGCTTGCAACATTTGCAAAACAAAATTGTCAGCAATAAAAAAATGTAACACACATGCAAAATGCGAATGAGAAAGAAGGAAAGAACGAGGAACGTATCGATTTCATGCGCATGTCCCCAGAAGAAGATGTATCCCACACCCCCCTCTCTGTCTATCTATGGGTCTTTAAGCACTAAACAAAGCTCAGGAAGACGCACACACACACCACATAAGCACAGTTAGAAATGCATACATAAACACAGCTTCACACATACACACACACATAAGAAATACAGCTTCATTTATTTTCCCACAGCACAGAAGAAAAAACAGGCCGGCAAAACAAATTTGTAAAAAAAACATCCGCGTTTGAAAGCACAACAAAACTTTAAACTAAAGACGCAAAATGCAAAAAACAAGCAAATATGTAATAATTAAAAAATGCATGTGGCAACAGAAGCAAAGAAATAAATAATAAAAAATACACAACACAATTAACTGCACATTTGTCAACTGCAGCTGATTGTTGAATAATGAATGTAATAAAATATTGCCTCATTCGAAAGAGTGAAAAATAGTTGAATAAAAGTTAGCCAATTTTTATATTCATTATTCGAGTTTTAGCAACGCGAAATCTTAACTGAAAAAGCAATAAAAATCGAAGCTTGCCAATGCTTTTTGCATTTCTAATTACAGTTTATCTTATTTTACTTAACAGCGTTCTGCACAAATTAACATACGCTGTAAAAACTATTCACAGCTGTTATACAAATTATATTTCATCAATGAAAATGCAAGAGAAATAATTTAACAACTGCGAATTATTATAAAAATAAAACAATTGATATGTTTTTTTTGGCAACAAACAAGAAAATTGTTGCCATACGCCTATTATTCAA